ATCTGGCGCGAAGCAGCTCGGTTTCCCGAGGATCAAATCAGTTTGCTCCCGTGGGGCCGACTTATTTTGTCATCAAAAGAATTTTAAATATTGTGTTCGGTAATCCAAGCTTATTGTTTATCTACTATTAAACAGGAAACACGAGGATTGACCTTTTTGCAACTGCATGTTGTTGGCTTGAATTGTGGATATTGTATTAAAATAGTGGAGCACTTCAAAATTAATATTTCTTCCTGATTTCTTCTGGCATTTCGGCACGTGAGAAGCTGAATTGAAACGTTCCTGTGTATTGGAGTCTCTTAGAAATACCATTAGATTTGAGGAAAGGGAGGAAAATACGATTTCAGAAAATTGGAAAGGTTCTACATAAAGTACTTGAGCGTTAAACTAGCGCTCCGCCCCATTGCGAGATTCGTTGTTATTATACCATCGTTGTTACCACCATCATTATACCACGTTGTTATACCATCGAGCGTGTAATTTCGATTCCTGCAGTACAGCAAAAAGGCGCCACATTTGGCATCACTGTCGCCATAAGAGACCGTACTTTATTCTTATGCGCCATAGTCCCATTTTCGGGTATTGCTCGGTTTTTTGAAAATTAAAAAAAAATCATTTTAAAACTACAAAATTGAAAATGGAGATTTTTGCCTCTGACAAAGTCTGTTGTACAAAATAAGTCTTTAAAAATCTTTAAAAATGCGTATGTACTTTTTTCTTGAAAAAAAAAAAACAAAAACAAACGAGTAGTCTTTGCGTAATTTCTGCTTGAAATTAATGAAGTATTTACTGGTTTCACAGCAACAATGGGCCACGAGAAAAATTGAACGAATGATATGAATAATAATTAATTTCATTAAATTATAATTTACTATTATGTCAATATTAATATAATTTTTACACTCTGGCTTTTTTACGTTCACTCAATTTGTATTCTCAATGTATTTCTTTTTAAGCAATCTGCAAAGTTTAATAGAAATATCGCAAAAATGCCACATCACTATTTGAGAAGGTAATTGTTGTCGAACGTCGAGATGTTGGTGGTGATAAGATACAGCTATTTTATTCCATTTGTAAGTCCAGCTAGTGGTCGAGAGCCAGTACTTCTGTTTGCGATAAATTTCGCAGCGGTTATTTTGTAAATTACTCCTCAGAATGTCCGGTGAGGTATGTTAAATGGAATTTATATCATTTAATCGCTCAAAAATATTTACTGTGTATTGAATAGAAGAAAAACTAAGAAACACTATTGGAACTTATCTTACGATGAAAGGCAACTCACGAGTGAGCAGCTAGAATTTTCGTAATTATTTTGATGTCAATTGCATATATTCTAATTACTGTATTGACATTATTAGCCAAGCAAATGCACGTAGTTTTGACAACGTAGCGCTGGCAATTGTGCGTTACTCGCTTCTTGGTTGAATTGGGACGTTTTCAAATAATAGCTGAGGTACTAGTAGCGGAGAAAAAGCAATATTTCAATATTACCTAGATGTTTTTAATAACGCGAGAAAGTTTGTGCTGTTGGGGTACCACTATCAAGGACCCATAAAACATGGATTCTGGCTACACCACATGTTACAAGAAGTAATTTACTATATATAAGAAGGATTTATCCACTTCGTCCAGGGCCCGGCAATGAGAGTTTCGAAAATTCGCCGTTTTCCTGCTTACGAGTACAACACTTTCTCTTCTTACGTTCTTACTTCGTACGTAAAGGCGAGAAAGTAAAACACAAATGCTTACCGTCCGTGAGAAAATGTTTTAACTGCGCTAACTTCAAGCACTATTCCTTTTTTAAAAATATTTTACACGACCTTCTTTTAAAAACCTGATTTTTCTTTCGCCCATATTAAGTGCTAGGTGGAGCTTCAGCAAACACGCTTACTTTGCTCGCGATATTGCTAATAATAGCCAATGTAATTATAATTATGACAATTTCACTCTTACACTTTTACTGACCATACTTGTGAAAAACAATATTAAACGAAGCGTAAGAAGTTTAGTATGATTATACTATATATATATTATATAGTAATATATTGATTATATTATAATATAATATAGGTTAACTATACTATATATTTATATTTAAATGCGCAGACGTCTTTAATACACAGAATACAACTTTCTGCCAATTAATTCAAGTGGTATACACTCACACTCTATCAGTAAATATGAAGCAAGGAATGACGAGATGCGTAGATTTAGTCTTGTAAATTAAAATTGCTTATTTATTAACGCGTAAAACGAGATGGCGGCGTCATTATCACTTCTGTTACAAAAGTTCACAGGCATCAATGGCCACTAATTCCTATGGGATACAACATTTCGCACATTATCATTGTTGATACCCCTCGCAAGAAAATGAAAATGGATTCATAAATACCATAATTAAACATAATATTGTTATATTCATTAAAACTACTCGTTTTTACGCGCATTACTCTTCATTCCCACACCTTATTAGGCAAAGCGAAATCATCAATACGATTTCACATTTAAATCATTTAAAGATCGCAATTTAAAGGTTTTAAATAAATTTTAAAAGATTAATTTGTAAACGTATAAAAAAAGCTCGAGTGTAAGAAACGGACAAAGAAATATGAAATTCTAATTTACGAAGCATCCTGCTAGAATTACCTCTAATACGTAAACGAAGCGCAGTAAATTGCAATGTTGTCATATGGTCGGAATTCCCTCCGTTTTCAGCGGATTTTGAACTCGTTCGGCGGAAAAACAATTAGTTTCGCGGATAGCGGAATAAACGGCGGAAATTAATAAAGACAGTGAAAAATAAGAGGAATTTCAAATCTTCTCTATTAATGCCTGGACACATATAGCGTGTTCGAGCAGAAACATTTTAAAATAATAATAATAATAATAAAAAAGACAGTTCAGTCCGCATAAGTGCGTCCTTTATTATTATTTTAAAATATTGGTGCTGGAATATGCCAATAACGACGGCTATGACCAAAAATAAGCAATTGTCCTTATCTATTTTATGCATTAATAAGCATTTGTTCTTTTCTATCCCGCACTTCATGGGGATAAAAAAAAGACAGTTGCTTATCCTTAGTCGTAGTTGTAAGTACGTGTGCTAGCCCTAATCATATTTTTGGAAACTGTTCTGGAATGAGGTGAATAATTATGTCGACGCTGTTGGAGTAAAACCTTTCAAAGAATTATGTATTCTGTTCTTTCCTTTTTGGTTTTACCACATTCAAATGCCGAAATAGAGAGGGTCTTCAGCCCAAGTGAATGTGGTTAAAAATAAGCATTAAAACAAAATGAACGTTGAATTATTAAACGCGATTTTGTCAGTACGTTTTGGTCTAAAAAGAGCGGGTAAATGTTCCCACCTGAAGTTTTAAAATAGATAACTCAAAAAGACAAGTATGAATCCAAGAGAACTAGTGATAATACGAACGATGATGAGTTATCAGTTTTCGTTAACCTTTATTAATAAGTTGTTTTATATGTTGCATATTTTACAGATGTTGTATATTTTTAAAATCTTTAAATCCATGTTACTAGCAAGAATAAATAATATAATACTTATATAATACCTAAAATCAATTATTATTTTGAAAATTTTCACCCAAGTAATGCATTCTATCATATCTAAAAATTGAATTGCAGGTTCAATAAAGCCACTAAATTTCGCAATCATATTTTTGTTTTAATAGAATAAATTAATACAACATATAAATATGGAAAAAGAATTTATTTTACGTTTAGCGGATTTAGGCGGGAAATTTAAAACCAGTTCAGCGGATTTCGGCGGAAACTGAAACGATCATGACGGACTCAAACACATCTGGCAACATTTGTCAATTGGGAGCGGGCTATTATGTCTGTCACGAAATTTCACAAAAAATACTCATATTTTCAAAATATTCAACAACACCTTATTTTATTTTTGCTGTAAATTAAAAAATCTCATATTTTCATGAACACAATTATATCTTCAGTTATCAACTTTAAGATGTTTTTGGCATGGATCTCATTGCTTACAAATCGATCATTCCCCACAAGCCCAAGAAATATTTTGAAGAGAAAATGTTTGCGATTGTTCAGACACAAATGACACCCCTTCTAATTCACAACTAACCGTCTGCCAATGATTCCATGCACTATTCTTTGTAATACTTTTGCAGGAATATTATAACACAAAATAAAAGTCATGTTTCTGAAGTATTCTGTGGCAAATCCAGGAGGAGGAGCATGGGGTCCATGGCCTCCCCAGAGACCAAATGTTTCGTCATCGTATTCAATTTATTTAAAACAATTACTGTGTATTCATTGCATTACATCCAAAGGAATATTCCAATTATGAAAGTTCAGCATATGTCTTTATTATTTCAAGCTAATATGAATAAAATTAATTATTTCAAAAATATTTATGGGGTTGAACTGTTATTGGCAGTGGTGGTGGTGGTGATTATTTTTATTGTAGAATATTTTTTTTATAATACTTAATCTTTGAATAACAACAAAAGGTGACAGGGATGTTTGTTTTCCTCTGGGTAATAACATTTGAAATTTGAAAACAGTAATTATTCTAATTATCATAAATTATTATATTTCATACATATTTGTAATTAATATTTTTCACATTTTACTTGTTGAGAGGATTTATTAGTCCTGTCTCATTGCAAAATTTTGCAGCTGCTTTCACTCTTTTCAGATCCAAATGCAAACACAAACATACTATAAGAAAGTTCTTTTACCAATTCTAAAAGTTACTTTTGGAAGGGTGTACTGTTTACTATATTTAATTATAAAATCCTTCATAGTATATTAAATATTACATACAATGGGATTCAGTTTGTGGGATTAAGGCAATTTTGGAGAAAGATATTACGTTTGTATCCATACATCCTTTATGTAATTTACTTTCCGCTATTTTAATCAACTCGCTTGGAAAACTGTGATAATAATAACAATAATAATAATAATAATAATAATAATAATAAAAACATTATTTAAATAACAGACAATAACAGGAACAAAATAGACATGTGTATTGTATTTGAGGAATTCTTATTAGCGTTATATAATTTGTACATGAATACTGAACATAGTTTCATAATATTTTATACTTGAAAGTGATATAAACAACTAACAAAGAATTATGCAGCTTAAATTCCTACAATGCTACTAATTAAAACATTTTTTCAGCAAACAGTACTTACAATGCAAAATCGTTAGTTGTATTGGTGCTAATCACCTCAGAATGTTCACAGTGACAATTTGCATCAATTGATAGCAAAATCGATCTTTCCTGAGGTCACATTATTATATAACATTTTTGATAACTTCACATTTGTTACCTGGTCTTTAGTTATACAAGTAAATGCTTTTCCATCTGCAATTATTCTCATGTTTGTCTGAGGTATTCACATTATATGATGTCATTGCTGCACAAAAAAATTCTTTACACTTGTTTTCTCTTAGAATTTCATATTTGGAAAAATGGATTGTACACAAATTTTTCCTACTTACAGGAACATATTTCTCCAGTTCAACTTTTATATATAAGCATTAGTAATATATAATTATAACAATAAAAATAAATACATTCACATTCTATTGTTGTATGTTACACACTTAAGTAGGCATTTAAGTCTCTTGGCGGTATTATTTCCTAGCTTAAAAAATAGGCTCAAATATAAATATTCCTATCATATTTTCCTGTAAGAAATCATTTTTCATGTTTAGTATAGAAAGAAAGAAACAAAAATAAATACAATAATTTGTGCCCAACCTTCAATAGGTAAATAAGAAAAATTAATAAACATGTTTAACATTTTGTGACTTCACTCCTAAAATAAAAAGACTCCAGAAAGTTTCCAATGACATCCATTTTAATGGAACAAATACTTTTGATTCACTTAAAATAATTAAGATTCCAATACTCAGTAGGTTTATAAAATTGTGAAGAAATTTGTTGAAACTGAGAAATAACTTTGCAAATTATTGACATCATATAGAGCTTCCTGACATATGCCCTACTGTTATATATGTGCAACAGACACTTCGGTTATTAAAACAAGTAATAGCCAATATGGCACAAATGACTGGCGTCAAATGCATTAAAATATGGCATTATAAAATATGCCTTAAGTAAATGTGATGTGCAAGTGAAATGTTTGTATACCTTAAAACTATGATACCTACATGAGACTTGCAAATGTGCTCATAAATTTATTAGATCTTAAACATTTTCATATTCTCTCAGATAAATTCATTCACTTGTTTCTCTCTAGCATTGAAGGTATTTCTAGTGCTCATTTAATTTTATATCACAACATTAAATGTCCTTTAATATTTTATGAAATTATATGCTTTGGTTAATATGTGGTATATAAAATATACGTGAATACTGAAATGGTCCATGCTTTTAGTCTGTATATTTGAAAACCACTACATTGATGCTCAAACAGTCCATCTCATGGCTAGTAAAATATGTATTATATTTTGGCATCTTACATGAATCATCTCTTTCATTTCTTTGCTGTATGTGCATTATTATCATTTTATTATCTATTATTTCTTCTCCAAACTCTCTGTGACAACAGAATCCTCTAGAATTCAAACGCATTTGACAAAATTCAGAAATATATATTATTTTTCATCAAATGGTGTTTTTACAAAATATGTAGTAAGAGTACCCTTTCCTTTCACATATGTTGGTCCTCTGCATTCACAATCATATCCAGAATTCATTAGAATTTTTGCTGTATCCTCAGTTACCTGAAATTAAAAAATATCTAATTTGATGACTATTTCATTTCTAAATATTAAAAAAATTTACATAGTTGAAAAATACAATAATAATTAACTCTGAAAATTTTGGTATTCATTACCTCAAAGAAATAAGAAAATTATATTAGATATGTATATACTATCACCTGAATGCGACCCATAATTCCACAACTGTCCATTCGAGAAGCAACATTAACAGTATTTCCCCATATATCATACTGAGGTTTCTGAGCTCCAACTACGCCAGCAATTACTGGTCCATGATTCAGACCTAAAACATAGTATCAAGTAAAAAAGTAAAACTGCTCTGTTAACCATTTCATGGAGATCCTAAAATGAAAAGCAAGTTTTTATTGAAGAAATGGGAAAAATAGAAATGAGAACTTATGATATAATCAAGCATTTAATGTTTAAATTAAGGAATTGCAAACTAAGCAGATACATTGCCTATTGTAAAATGTTTGAAAACTTAACAGTAGATTAACTGCATGAACAACAATTTTTATATCACCCCAAAGAATTACTTTGATTATTAATGCTATTTTGAACATGTTATAATTTGCAATAGAATATGGTAAACATGCAATTGTTTGAGGAAAACTACAAACTTGAAGCTTGCTAATTTCGGAAAGGCTTTAAAGTAATTGCAAATATATGAGTAATGTAACCGTGTATGGTTCCCTTTTTTAATGCATCTTCTTTGAGTAAATAAAAAAGGAATTTTAAAAGAGGAGAACAATAGATTGTAAAAAAGCTCTTCAGTCTATAGTGTGCAAAAGTGTAAACGTTAATGTTTGTTTTCTGAGTAGGCAGTTCTCATTGAAGGCAACAAAATAATCTAGTCACAGATGGGTGTAATTCAATACACAACAGACACTAAAATATAGAAAAATGAGAAACCATGAGTAGTTATAAAATGAAGGCTTTTTGAGAGGGTAGTGTGCAGTCTTATTCAAATTTCTTTTTCATCAGGGATATTTTTATCAGAAAGAGCAATATTTCTTCTATTGTTATATGACTCATCATATGTATACAAGAATTAAAATAAACAGACAGACAAACAAACAAACATAGTATATACTATATATACAAGTATATATAGTATATACAAGGAGCGATAATTACATTCGTGAAAACTATTCAAAGGATTGGTTGTCTCAGTAGCTTAGTGGTTAGAGCAACTGGGTGTAAACCAGAAGGCCCAGGTTCGAGCACCTGTTGAGACAACCAATTCTTTGAACAAATTTAATTAAACAAACAAATTTTTAATAAAATGTAGAGCCAGATTTGAAAGTTAGAAATGCACTGAAATAAAAAAGTAATTTGTAAATTTAGTCTTTGTGGTTATTTGTTAATTTCAAGTGTAATTACAAGTATATTTTGGTCAGTTCTAAATTTTTTGAAATTTTTTTTTCTTCTTATACATTTCTATACACAAATATAAACACTTCTATAAAAAATGTAGTAAATATGTAATGTAGTAGTATATATAGTTAGTGTTATAAAAATCTGGTCAAGATTTTAATGAAATTACACATTGTTGTGGCCCCTAAAACCACACAAAAGGTTGCGTTTTAAAAAACATATCCTTGAACAATACTAGTGCCTAATCTAACACAGGATTTTCAAAAATAGGTATCCCTCGAATAATATGGAACCCCTCAAGGATGGATCCCCTTGTGAATAATTCTTATAAGTTTTGGGAGTGCTTTACATGAAATTCTTGAGACACTTTCAAAATTTTGTATCTAGTGACTACATTATTTTTTTTCCCTTCTCAAATAGAGCAAAGTGCACTTATCAATATGGCTTAAATCCAATTTACTTCTGTATAACAGTGAAACAAGACTATCATATGGTGTAGGGAAGACTATTATGAAAATTAATATGTGAAATGAGTAAGCAAATAACACCCAAATTATTCTCAGAATATGCTGTTTAGTTTCCTAATTTAGGGTGATAGCACTTTATATTATATCAAACTGATTTGATGAATATAGGAAATATTATTACTTTACAACAAATGTTATTATTCTACAACATTTTCATGTCTCAATAACTAGATGAGAAAAACACAATGATTGTTTTAAAGGGTGCATTAAGACACACTAGATGAGGATGATTTGACATTTGAAGCCTGTTCACAGGTTTCACCAATTATAATACAGTCTTTTCAAGAATATCTTTCTGATAAAACAGTACTTAACATTCCAAATGCATTATCAAAAAATGCATTGATTTTTAAGGGTTTAACCTGGAATACGAATTAGGAGTCCTTTGCAGGACAAGGAAGAGAAAGAAAGTAGCAAAAAAACCTGGTTGAAAGAAATCTGTATCAGTTTGGAAGAATAAAATTAAATACAACAGAAAATTCAGAAATGTATCTAATATTTTACAATTACATACACATTATACAATTTTGTGGTCCAAAACAAGACTATGACCATCTCCACAAATTGAAGGACTAGATCCAAACTTAGAAGAAAGACCATGATGTTGCCTTGCCATTCAGAATATATTTGATTGACATTATGGAAATTATCAATAACATCTGAATCATTCGCTCAATAATAGAACCATTCTTCCTAATAAATAATACAAGTTCAATGTAATTCTATGTTTTGTTAGAAATCTCATTAGAATAATATGGATCCACGTCATCCCAAAAAATTAAATCCTGGCCTGGCAATATAATTTTGATAAATCCAAGACAAATATAATTAAAAGTTCACTTAAAAACAGTTTGCATTGAGCTCAGTCAAGTAAAGTAAAAAGATCAAAACAGCAGCATAGCAACATAAAGTAATTTGCTTTGAACAACGATTACTTTCCAAATTTATAAATTTTCAAATGTTTTCTTATTTTCTAGCTTACCATTCTTACTAAATGAAAACTGTTTTGATATTTTGGGTAAGGAAATGATAATGTGTAAACTTATAACACTACAATTTATTTATTTCAATTATTGGCCTCATCTATGCTACAAACCAGAAATACATTTTAGAATTTTTTCAATTTAATAATTATTTTCTTTTGGTACTGAATCCAAATTAAAAATAATAACTTTTGGAAATATAGTTAAAAGTAGAGTCGTGGGGGTAAAAATTATTTGAAAACATTTTTAGGTAGACAATTTTTGGGTAACTTCTTTTGTTTCATCGTAGATGGAAACAACTTTGATCATCTTCTCTAGTAAGTCCCTTGTTTTTTATATGTAATAGAGAAATGATTACTTATAGAATACAAAACATACCTATTCGTAGTTTAAATCTCTGGAATGATTCACGATTTATCTGATCCAGTATGGTCATAAGAGCAATAGCAAAATCCACAAGAATGAGGATATTATGTTCTTGCTGTCTAGATGCATCCTGTAACAAACAGTTCTCACCTAATTTTTTCAAAATTATGATATATTTTTTCTTTCTATTAATATATAATAATATAAATAGATTTAAAAATATTTTTATTAATCTTTATTTTAAATTTAAAATAAAATATTTAAAATAAATTTTATAAGATATCGTTTATTAAATTTACGAACTTGATCAGAACTTAGTAAAAATGTAATCATATTGCAACATAAAAAAAATTCAAGAACATTATTTTGATATCAAATGCTTGTAAATGACTGCCCTAGAGCTCAAGTGGTCTTTGTTAAAATTAGGGCAAAATTCAGGAAATAGTAACTTTTATCCTAACAGTTATTTATCTATAGAAGCTGAAGTGGTTTATGTGCAATTTCTACCAGTATCTTGAATCTAAAAATACCATGAAGCATATTTTGATTTGTAGACAATTCATCAGTGGTCTATGTAACACTGTTTCAGTAAGCGGCTCATAATAATTCAAAATAATACGTTAACAATTCAAAATTCATAAGTGGTCAGAGTAACACATTCATCTGATATTGATCATAGAATGTTAATTACCTTAATATCTTCTTTTAGTATGAAAAATTTCCACTAAAGATACAATAATTAAATGTACATTCAATGAAAACACATTTCACTGCTTTTGAACTTTACTGCTATTTATAACATATGAATTTTGCTCCAGAACAGTGAAATGTTGCAATAGGTCTATCACTAATACTTCTGCTGTTTTGCAATCACTCTGTTCTCTTTTATTACTTTATATGTGAAAGAAATAGGGTTTAAATAAATATTTGCTATTTGAGGCAAATTAATATTTTGAGTTTAATGATCCATGTATTAATAAAATCATTCCTTTTACCACCTTAGGTTGGGTATTAGTATCTGGACTTTCTGTGGAAGTCTTAATTCAGCATTTTTATTTCAGCCCGGACAACTTTTGTTGCTCAATTTTGATCATCTCATTGAAGGTCCATCAAAGTCCATCAAAGATTGAGTGGAAAACAAAAACAAATTTATTATTGATATATTACATTCATTATTTTAATAAATATTTTCTAGTCAATTAAAATTATTGTGCATTGATTTTTTTTATTTTGTTGCACCTTTACAATGTATCTTTAAGCCCCTATCTGATGCATTGAGCATATGGAGTAATGGAGTAATCCTCCTTTAATCTAGTCAGTAATTGACAGTTGTGGTCAGTCATTGCCTTTATCCCTTCAGCCAAGTATTGAATTGCTTAACATCCATGAGTTCACAGTTAAGGAGTTTGGCTAGTGGCACAAAATTTTGTGGCCCTGGTTGTTTTGTTCATCATATAACATTCTTTGCAACACAAAATCAGTACAATTTAGGGACAATGATTCATGAAGTTTCAGTTCAAAAGCTTCTAATCTGAGTGAGATGTAAAAGACATACATTCATCACCCATCCAAGCAGGCATCTCGATTTTATGGAACAAAATGTATCTCCTCGCCACATCCAGGAATTTTAATCATCTTTGAAGTATCACTAATACACGCTAATCCTGACTTGTATGCCAAGTTATAGCTCAAAATAACATTAAATAATCTACAACTGAAGTGGTTTTTCTTCTTAAATATATACTCTGTGAGGCAAGGCAAAATATTTTCTGGGATTTTTGGCATTTGTGAAGCAAAATTAATGTCAAATAACAAGCGAAATATAAGAAATTGCACAATGACACAAATTAAAATGAATCATTGAGAATGTAAGGTATTAGAAAATCCAAATATTAGTTGGAGTAAATGAATTTTGGATAATTAAAGATTTTTTTCCAAAATAGAACAGATAAATAATATACAACATTGGTGATAGTTAAGTCAGTCAGGAAGTGAAAGCAAATAATTTTAGACAGAACTATGCTGGATTTGGTAGAGGGAGAATCGATGGCTGTCAGGGTGATGAGTAAAAGTTTTTGATTATTAGATCATGTTAGATAGGAAATAGACATGTGGTCCGTGAGTATTAACAAATAGGGAAGATAAGGAATAATAAATTATTAGCAAGAAAATAGTAATATTTGTGCAATATTCAGGTCGCGAATAGTGGTAAAAACTTAAAAGTTAAATGTAGTGTGGTAATGAGAGGAACTCCAGATGGAATAATTGAACAGTCGCTGATTTCGTTCACAACTTCAAGATGCCTGGGAGAATCTTCAAAAGGCAAGTTTAGACAACAAGTGGCACAAATACTTTAACAAAAAGATTTTAGCAAGACCAAGTTATGTTTACTTATAAGATAATATTAAGATAGAAAAATAATTACATTTTTTTAATAAAGATTCAATGGCCATCAAATAGGTAACCATAAGAGAAATACAATGAAATATTGTTGAAAGTTAAAACTAATAGAAATTGAAATAAATTAAATTTGGCAACCCACACTCAATGTCGCTGACAATACAGTAACAAATTTACATTGTTTAATTCATTTAATTTTTGAGTTAAAATAGTAATAAATATTTTCTAACAAAATTAAGTTATTCACCATCTGAATTACTCGTATAAGCGGTATTTTCTAATACAAGAGTTTTTTTCTAATACAATTTTCTAATACAAGAGTTGTATTTTCTAATACTATTTTCTAATACAAGAGAACAGTACCCGGAGCAAATGTAAGTAAGCTGATGCCCCAAAATCAAATAAAAACTAGAGATAGCCACTCCATTAAATTAGAAATATAGAAAGGAATTACAGGGGCAATATATAGAGTGGTTAAATTATAAAGAGAGAGAGATTTTATAAGGAAGAAATTGTGAGTTACTACAATAGCATGACCAAAGTCATGCAAGAATATACTAGATTGTATATTTTAAAATAAAAATAGTAATTTTTGAGTTACCACAATGGCAGGCCCAATGTGGGATAAAATATTGTAAATTTAATTATTACAGGGTGGAAATTCTGATTTACTACTTCAAAGACATGATAAAAATGCATTAGAATGAAATCATTCTCCTATCAAAAGATTCTGCTTGCCTACCACATCATTACCACGCACTTATCTAAAAAACTAGAAAATGTGACGTAAGTTGTTTCACAATTTTCCAATTCAGTTATATTTTGAAGCAAACATTTGAGCATATTTGTTCCCAACTAATATCATATTACATTGCCTGGTAGTGTAGCATAGAAGAGTTGTCCTGGCCCTTTAATTTTCTTACCTCAGCTTCATCCTAAGAAATAAACAAAAAGGAGACAATTAGATTTGTACTTGGTATGACTCATTGTTATTTCTATATTTAATGTATTTTATTTTTTACTTACCCCACTGCCTTCTTCTTTCCCTGGTCTTAACCCTGAAGCTAGCATGTAAGTACTCCCTATAGTTTTTATCTTCTCAATACAGCTAAACTTTGGTTTAAGTAGGAGCTATAAAAAATTCACAATTATGGAGTATTAGTTCTTTAAAATTAATAATCAAATACTGGTACAACAAACTATTTGAAAGGAATGTGGTTTGTTTATCAAGGCATGTCAGCTGATAAGACTTTTAATTTTGGAGGTGTCATGCATGTTACATCCCATGAAGTGGCAGTATTCCTCTCCTGTTGGGATATAAGATCCAGCTCCAACTTACATGTTGGGTAGTGAGATTTCCCTCCAGGTGTTACCACTAGTGAAGCATTGCCCCCTGCTAGGACAAGCTCTAAGCTCCTGACATGAGTGGTTGTGTAGTAATGTATCTAAATGTAAGTTTCAGTGTGTGTGAGTAAGGGGAGAAGAGGAGACAAGGATGCGGAAGGAAATGTTGAATGCAGGCCATTGCCCATTTGCTAAGGTACTGCGCTGACGTTTGCCTGGAACTGATTGGTGAAACCTCAGAAAACTACTGATTAAAGCTGATGGCCACTAGAATTCTCGGCTAGGCAATGGCTGAATTCGATATAGCTGTGTAGCTAATGCCAAAAATCTGCCACCATTAACACTTAAAGCCCAGGTATCCTTCATTCAGAGACACTCCAGTGACAACGGTTGTTGATCTAAGCTATCTCAGTCAGTTTGATGTGAATAAAAAAGTAGTTGTATCATGTATGGCAAACCAAAACTCAGTGTGTTCATATTGTAAAAGAACAGCTGCTCAAAAGGTCATATATATAAATATATACATAAAAAATCCCTGTACAGAATTTGAGTAACTGTGACTGTGCGTGTGTGCGGATCCGCCACTCACGGTTCGACCACTTCCCATGCACCAATCGAGACGTATGAGATGCCATTCGACGCGCCTCGGTATCCGGGTGGGGAAGTGATAATTTGTTTGCGGATCCGACCAGAAGATTCTAAGAAATATCCAAAAACGTGGTTGGTCATCTGCGCACGTTTTCTCTAGCTTCAGAATCCCTTCCTATCATTGTATCTAAAAATAGTTGAAAGATGAGTGAAAGTTAAAAATAAAAAATAATAAAGCGCAAGATTAGCAACATTTGAAAAACTAGACGTTTTCGTTTTCGAGTTATAGAAAACTTATTTGCAACGGTAAACGAAATGCAGATTTGATTTTTCTGCATTGCTAACAAAATAGTAACTCGCTCTTACCTCTACTACCACTGCAAGCAAAAGGAGAGGTCAACAAAACAGGCGCCTAATGAAGCTACATTTATGTCCAGAATCAAAACAAGGGGCCATCTCAATGGATAAGGGAAACTGGACAAAAAACTGATCGAGATGGAGGTCAATGACCCGGAAGCTAAAGTTCATTATTTGTTACAAGCATATTAAGTCTTTTCAATCATATTATACAATACAAATGTAAACTAATTCACTCATTTGTTAAAATAAACATTTTTGTTCTTGATAATCAGCATAGTTTTTAAGTGTATAGAAACAGTTATGCAGCGGAAAAGATTTTACTTTTAACTTAAATTTATGTACCGATTTCAATTGTTCATGTCATCTGGCAATGCATGTAATGTAACGTACATGTATTATATGTGGATTTCTGGTTGGTACTTGGTGGCTGCTGGTACAGATGAACGTGATTTCTACAACGTGTGTTGTAATTATAAATATCAGTATTGCATGAAAATATGTTCCCATAGTTAAGTAAATATGACAAATATTACAGATTCGTAAATAAATAGGCAATGTAATGGTAAGATTCCAAGCTCAATGAAAAGAGGCTTGCAGAGATCACGCGGATGGAAGATTTTCATTACTCGAATCATTTTCTTTTGCAATCTAAAGGCCTCGAGCTTCCCCAGAATATCATGCCATATCTCAGTGCACATGTGCAGTGCGGGAATGCACATTTGCAAAAAACACGCAACGAGCTGCATGAAGATCGTGGAAATTTGAAAGAATTCTGAATGCGTAACACAATTAACTTAATTTAGTGTTTAATAATGATATATGTACATTCCATTTGAGGTTTGACTGAATTGAGAGAAATAGAAATTTTGTTACATTAACATCAGCTAATTGCATATTGTTAATTTTCAATGGAGCATGTGATCGTAAGATGTCAATAACGATAACAATGTTAATAACGCCAAAAGCTTTCGAAAGATCTATATATATTCCAATGAGTGCTTCATTTTTCTCGATTGATGAAGCAACATCTTTAAGAAAAAAATGACAGTTTCCGTAGATTTTGATTTTCTAAAACCGTGTTGTGAGTCTGAAAACGCTTCGTGTTTCCTAAGAAAAGTTTCCATTCGCGTATAGAAAAATCTCTCAATTATTTTTTTAGAAAACTGGCAAAAGAGAAATTTGCCGGTAATTTTGAATTTCATTTTTGTTCTCTTTTTTTAAATGTGTCTTAATTTTTGTTGTTTTGGAAATGCCTGGAAATATTCCTGTACATAAAGAAGCATTGAAAATCTGAGTTAACGGGTGTATAAAGGCTGGTACACAAGTTTTCAATAAACAATCCGGAAATTCATCTAAACGAGATGAATATTAATTTTTTAGTTTACTGACTATTCTCAGAATTTCGTTAAACGTTTCGGAAATAAACATCGTGTCGAACATTTTTTGGGAAGGGAATGAAGTTGAATTTTGTGGTTTTAGTCCCTTCATGACTTCAGCCGCAATTCTAGAAAAGTATTGGTTGAAGAGAATTCCCACTTTTTCCGGATTGATTGCTTCTCTTCCATTGTTCTTTAAAACAACATTATCTACTAAGTCGAGATGATGTCGTATTTTTTACGATATTCCACATTGCTTTAGTTCTGTTACTAGCGTTCAAAATATCCTGATTATTTTCCATTATTTTTACCTGAACTATTACTTTTTTAAAAATTCGTTTGTATTCTCGGAAGTAGACATAGAAACCGGGTTATATGTTATGATGTTTAGAAATAAAGTAAAGCTGACGTTTGTTTTTACACGATGTTGTATGTACGGATGTACTTATCCGTTCACCCTAAGAAAAAACCTAATATAAACAAATTGAAGAAATCTTTGCACCGCACTACGCTTCTGATTGGACAAAGCGGAACGCTTTTTCTAGCGCACCACTTTCGATGACGTGAGTAGCATACCCCGCCAATTCAAATGGAATAAGAGCTGTCATGCAAATGTCATGTTCATGCTACTACACTTTACTAACGATCAGTCTGCTTCAGGAAGCGATTGTCAATAACCAGATGTCAATTATTTGTGTAAAGTGGTTGGTCTACAATTTGGAAGTTCATCACAATTCATAAGCTGCAACAATTTCGCAAGCGTTGGTGTTTCGTTTTTGTACTTTAGCCCTCTTGATGCAAGGAATGCACTTTCAATCAAACAGCATTCACCGCAAAGTCATCATAGTGTATGCTTCAACACAATCACAGGTGTCTTCCCAATACGCTGGATACGGATATTCCAGTGAACTCTGCGATTTGCTTCACCGGTAACGACGGATTCCTACGTAACAACGAATTGAATTGCATTGAGCTTCGCAGGCCGATCGGCGGCACGACGCCGCGCTCTCACGGGCCGCGTCCCACGCGCCTGATTCAGGTCGATCAGCTCGGTCGCGAGCTGAGCTGCCAGAGACTCGTTATCTTATTGCACAGCAACACGCAGTCAGTTCACAATGGCCTCCTTTCTCGAAATCGTTGCAATAGTTTTGACGCAAGGTCAGGATCCCTACAACAGCAGAGCTCACACTGCAAACCAATGAGAACCATCCTAACAGACGTGCATTTGTTTACATCAGGATTTTTCTTAGGGTGAACGAATAATTCCTTGTGTAATCCAAGTATAATTTTTGCGTGAAATGTTTAATTTTCTATTTTTAAGAGGAAAGCATGCGTTAAAGTGAAATTAAAGCTTTGAGAAAAATAGTTTTTTTTTTCCATTTGTGTCAACAGCGTTATAAACTGTATCCCATGATTCCTTCAGAAAGTAGTCCGTAAATAATTTTATGTTAACTTTAGTAAACACTCCGCACATGCGTGTATTATTTGTGTCAGTGTTATTAGTAATTGTAAGAATTTGGGCATCGTGTGCACTGTAACCAAGTTAGTAGTTTTTAATTTAACCTAAATGAGACTGAGTTTGTGAAGTTTTAAACTTTTTAAAAATTAGAGGACAAAAATTTGGAAATGGAAAGCAAATCTGGCAAAAAATCAAAAGTAGTAGATTTTGAAAAATAATTTTAGAAACTAATTGTAAATGATCTTATTAGAGAAAAACGCCGAAGAATTGCTTATGGGTGATATTATATGTGCATTTTGGGGTATATTAGGAAAAAGGCGTACAAAAAGGGAGCTGTTCTAAATTCTAACTATTCACAACATCCGTACCTGCTATACTCTAAATAGAATGAAATAGTGTGAAAGCATATTTTATTGTAATGTACCACATTGTTTAGATTTGCAAGAAACATACGTATATTATAATTAAATAAATTATTTCCATTTAAAATTTCCGAGCGTTTTTAATATCTCGAATGCCAAAAATAGTTGCTTCTCACGAAACGTTTCGTGGGTACTTGATGCGATAAAAATTATGTGTTTTTCAGCATTATTTGTAATCAATGGAAACGTAGTCGGCAAACGGAAAACTTTTGGCAATCTTCCATGTGCGATTTTCTTAAACGGATCTTCAAAAGATTAAATTTGTCAATGATGCGATACGCACGGATTCAAAAAAAGCACGAAGTGACTTACTTATGTGTCATCCGATAGATCTAGCGTTAAATACAGTGTGCCCGTTTACACTTTTTGAAAAAGTGAGAAAGTGAAAATATACGGATGACGTTGAGTAAAAATCTTTATTATATTATATTTTGTAAGTATGTTTTTCCATTATAATGTAAGATATATTCGAACTAATGCATGCTATTTGTTTAATGCCAAGTGTACCCTGAGAAACCTTTTCTCCACTGAATATTTTCTGTTATACTTAATGTTACTAGAGTAATTTCACTTTCCTGTTATTATAAAAGCGAATCTATTGTTTAAATCATAATGTAATTATCAGAAAAGTTTCATTGTTTTAGGCAACAGAACAATTTTCATTACAAATGTATAAATTCACAGAACGGTTGCAGCCATTATCAAAGTGTATGTGATTTAAAATGGTAAAAATGTTTTTTAACTACAGCTCAGCAGTCGAAAAAATTCACACCTTTTGGTTTTTTGAGAGAAGAGTTTGAGATTTTTTTCAAGCTTGTTCCAAGGTTTTAAAACAGTAAAAATTATTTAATTAAAACAAAACTTTGCGTTTAGATTTTGCGTTTGCGTTTGAATTTGAATTGAAAATGTGTTTCAGATAGTATAAATTATTGTATTATTTTTCATTTTTTTCAATCAGATAAAATAGTGTTAAGTTGACAAAAAAGTTAAAATAAAAAAAACACGTTTCTGGGTGTAGAGGGGTGGGGCGAGGGCCAAGAAATCTTTGAAAAGTAGCATGTTTATGTTAGAATTACTCATCTTTGGTTAAGGAAACTTTTAACCATCTTACGCGGGGGGACGCTTTGCCCTCCCAATGAAAGATCCGAAATCCCGCCTCTGGAAAAAACTATAGACCTTACTCGTGCAGTGGTAGAAAAAATGGAAGAATGAGCTAGGAGATCAAAAACCTCATTATTTATGGCATCCCTGAAAGCGAGAGCTACAATGTTGAAATGAAAAAGAATCACGATTTTGATATGACCGCTACAACGTTACAACCCTCAATCAAAGACCCATTCATATTCTCTCTGTTGAAAAAAGAACTGGAAAAAATCATTTTACCAGACTTGGCAAACAAGATGCAAATAAGGATAGACTACTAAGGCGACGTTAGACCAGTAAGACCCATCACATCGACAGATAAACGAAGTGCGAAATTTGTGGCAGATGTTAATCAAAAGATCGTCGTGCGACTTTTGAAAATATCTCCTCAAATGTTTGATACTGAAAATGCACAAAGCGCGACCTCTGTTGCTCGTCTACTCTGGGTCACTCATTTTCCACGACCACTCTCGCCATTCTCGCCACTCTCTTCATGGCCAGAGACAGAAGTTCCATGAGTGGGCTTGGGACATGCACCCTACAGTCCCGACATGAGTCCACCAGATGACTTTGACTAATTCTCAGAATTGAAAAAACCTCTGCGAGGACATCGTTTTTATCTCTTGATGAGATTTCTGTAGACGGTACCCGAACCTTCGTCTGATGAACAAAGAAAGGGTATTTAATGGAATTCTAAAGCTTCCCAGTCGTTGGTACTCGGTAAATGAGAATAATGGAGAGTACATTCAAGGACTGTAAAGAGATTTTCTCAAAAAATAAACATGCAAGATAAAATAAAATTTTATGCATTATTTATGAAATGACCCTCGTATGTGACAAAGGAACGATCCACAACCAACTTGATCTCTTGTACACTTGGATTAGAGACCTTGATAACAAAAAACAACTGATTTCATCAACCTGGACTTTCCAAAAGAAGTTGATACGGATACCCACCAGCGTCTGTTTTACAAAATTTTCCATTTCGTCACCCGTGGCAGGCTTCTTACGTGGTTAAAATACTTTCTGACTGTAAGGACATTCCGAGTCAAGATTGGATTTCATGTATCATCCCTTTGCCCTAGTACAATCGGAGTCCCTCAAGGATCGGTCCTCGTACAATACTGTTCATTCCTTACACGAGTGATATTCTTAAAACGCGAATAACATTTTCCCCCACGTACGCCGATGATACCAAAATCTATACCACTCCACATAAGAACTCCCATCAGTTACAAATCGACGTCGATAGTGTATTCAAACGGACGGAGAAATGGTTGATCCGAGTTAATGATTCCATATGTTCAATACTACACATAGTTAAAAATAATTCGCCACCAGAACAACATTAATGGCCATATCATTCAGCCATCACCATGAGTAAAGATCTGAGAATTATAATAAAAGATGACCTAAATTGGAAAGTTCATATCAATAAAGCTAACAAAGCACTATTTTTGGTACGTAAGGCTTTTTGATACGTCAGCAAGGATTTTTACAAACACTCTACATTACGTATGTTGCACCAATACTGGAATAATGATTTAGCGTCTGGAATTCTTACTTCAAGAAGGATATGATACTTTTGGAGTCCAACGTAGCGCTACAAAACTTCTACAACCTCTTAGAAATTTGTCTTATAAAGAACGACTACGTGAACTAGACATACCATCTTTATATTTTGGGAGGGACCGAGCCAATATTGAAACCTACAAAATAGTTCATGGCCTCTACGAATTGTTACACTTCTACACATACATCACTGCCCACAACCGTAGAAGACATAACAAGAAGCAAAAGGAGGCTAAATTCAAACAAAACAACTACAAAAATATCCAGGCGAACCGCATAGTTAATTAGCGAGAGCTCATCTCAGCCATCCACGAGAGCTCATCTCAGCCTGCACTGACTCCAAATTTAAAAGACTTCATTGCCGTCTCTGTGATTTTAGATTATAAATTCATGATTATTATATATATATANGTGTGTGTGTGTGTCTAATGAGTTGTTCTTTAACATAACATTTGCTGTCAATCTGAACCAAACATGTCAAAATAATGGAAGAAAAGGCAAAGTCATTACAGAATTATTGTTATTGATTTTAGATTAAAATCATTAACATTTACTTCACTGTAAATTAATTGAAACTTGTTAAATATCTTGATTTGGGCCATATCAATTTTCTGTTGCCGATTGTATAAAAAAATAAATCAATAAAATAATAACATTGTACTTAAATAAGCAACCTTATCCTAGTCATTTTCAGTTTTAGCAATATTGCTGCCACAGTTGCTCATTTTCAGATCAATTTTATAGTTTTCAGATGTCATACAGATTTACTGATTAAAATGAAGATGTGATTGACGCAGGATTTTCATGGGCATAACCAATCATATTGTTGAAGGGCCTGTGGTACAAGTGTGGATCTCACACATGAATGTGAAGATAATAGTCCTGTAATTTCAAATCCATAAAAATACTTATTGGAATAAATATGCTGCATTTAATGTGAGTGAGGGAGCAAGTAAGTCAAATAAACTGATGAAAAATATGATTGAAATGAAAATTAAACTGAAATTTGTAAAAAAATACACTAATGTATCATTCCATATGATTTTGTTTTGAGATTCAGAATAATCCCTAATTTAAAAAAGAACAATTTAACTGAAGAAACAACAGCTGGCTTGAGAGTTATACAATAATTTTGGGTTTTCAATACTGTTACTCAAAGTATTGTTGAAGTAGGGCAAACAAGTTGATGGAATTCTGATTATGGCTGAGACTAGATAAACATAAATATTATGCCATATTCTGTATTTATGAATATTTATAATAATATGCTTTATGTGAAAATATTTGCTGTCAATCTGAACCAAAAATATCAAAATAATGGAAGAAATAGCAACGCCATCACAAAATTTTAATATTAATGAAGAGAAGTCCAGAAACTTCAAATTCTTACCTTATCAAAGTCACATATGATTTCATTCAAAAGTCTCAAACATTCAAGCCCCTGTTTGTTGACATCATTTTCATCATAGAATTCTTTATAATTTGGAATTGAAGCAAACATTACAGCAATACAACTGTAACGTTCATGGTATAGCTCCTGCAGTAAAAACAGAATACAAGTTTAAAAAGTCGAAAAGTCAAGAAAAGTCAAATTAAAATAATAATATAACGACATGGGGGGCATTAATAGGTATTGCATAGTATACAGTGCATGAACACAAGAGGCCTATCTACGGTACAGTAGACATGGCACGTGCCGCGAGCGCCACTCACAAGGGGCACTATTTAGAGTATACTCAATAAAACAAACAACAACAAACATAATTTGACGTAACCTGACAGGAGCCAAATTCCGTGCTTGCCATGGGCACCGAAATACTTAGATACGCCTCTGCATGACCAATCACATTTCCAGTATCTGGCTAATGACAGGGAAGGGGAATTAATAGCATTGCCAGTTTAGTGCCATATTAGTGTACTTAGGATGCCTATACATTTTATCAAGTCACAGTTGTGGAAGAATCAAAGTCTATTACATAATAAACACACATACCAAATTTTAACAGACATTTAATTCTAAGCTCTTATCAAACAAAGGAATAAGAGGAAAACACTCATATTAAAATCTTCTATGATCAGAACGCAGCATTTTATGAAGTTTTGTTAATATTACTGATTTCTTTTCTCGTCCAAAATTGGTTTAGGCGTCAGCTTTACATAACGTTTGTATTCACGCTTCTGTTAGGTTCAGGAGAAGTCCTCTCTGTTTATTTTCCTAGAGGACACACAAACACACGCACGCTGAGCGCACACGCACACACAATTACACACACACAATTACATTCATGCAATTACACTCACGCAATTACGCTCACACATTGACACTCACACACAATTACAGACACATACTAGTGGTCGTCCACGAAGATACCCCCAGCTGCGCACTTATTGGGCCCGGGAAAACGCCTCGAAAACGACCGAGTTTTCGATCCAAGCTCCTCTGGCTAATTCTCGTCAATTGTCAATATCTCAAGGTGCGTAATTTACAAATTTGTATATGATCATTGAGATCAACCAGACTCACGGTTGCGGAACTAGTGTTGAAGGTCCACGACTCCTCGTCACTTTGTTTATTATTCACATGAAACTTCCTGTTAATTTCTTTTTTTTCAGAAGTGAATAATTTTTGAGTATCCACTAGCGTGGCATAAACCCTAGTGAATATTCTATTATGAAACCACAAATCCGAGTTTCTAACAAGCGAGAGAGTTAAAGCCTTTCAAGCTTACGCGTACGAAAACTCCGTCTCCCGCCGCAACTGCGTCTCTCCAATCCGCCCCATATATTCGAGAGCTCCTTACCTTAGAGTGGGAAACTAGCGCCTACCTCTTCGAACTGTTGCCGGTTAACTTTAACAACCCTGAATTGCATTACCTGGAAGACGGTCTGTATACTCCTCCCGATGGTCGACGGATGGAAGTAGGGAGTTTTACCATTCAAATATTTTATAAACATTGTTGTCTAGGACGAAATGTACCCAGTACCCCCGAAGAAACCTTAAATCTGACATTATTCGTGAAAGCTGGAGTCCAGAGCCCTCCCTGCTCCACTCTGCATGATGGCGGTCGTTGGCTAATAAACCCCAATGACGCACCGCCTTCGAATCTCACCAACGACTGTGGTACGCAGGACCGGACTAGCGAGGGATGCCCTCTGCCAAGTAATGGCGAGTTTGCAAAATTCTTCCACAATCCATGATCTTTTTGTAGTATGAAACGAAGTAGTTTTGAAAATATTTAGAGATGCAGTATAATTTATCGGATCACAAAGTTTTGAGACTGGACTTGATTAACATGTTTTTTCAATGCTTCACCTGACGAAATCTTAAGTTAGACTGTGATCACGAGTTATGCAGATAAAATGTATCGATCTAGGCCAATACGTTCAATTTTATGGACGATAAACAGTCCGTAAAATACAACTTTACTCATAGTGGTGAGTATACACACAAAAAACCTTTTAACTAAGTAGTTACCGCGATACCGTCTTAAATGCGAAAATTAACGAGGTGGGCGAAACTCGAAGCAGTGAGAGGCACAGACCCCGAGGAGTTACCGACCTTTTCCTTTAATACGATTCCTTCATTTCAAGTAGGGGTGCTGAGAATATAAGAGGCCTGAGCCAGTATATCCACGGAGGCTCCTTATTTCAAACGAAAGTTCCGCCCCCTCAGAATTGATTTCTCCGTGCAATAGAAATAACACGCAGCCGTTGATTTGGATAAGAAAAAAGACATTATTTATTTGTTTCGAATGAAAACATTTCGGGATCGAAATGATGTCGGAGCCTAGGGCAAGGTGCCCCAGTTGCCCCCTTCTGAATGCAACTGGTTCTGGGCTGCGGGAAGGAGTAGAGGGACTGTTTAGTATCCCACACAGTTCGTTCAAACATTCGATTGTGCTCTACTCTTTTGGCTGCCCGCTCGATCCTTACACGATTTTTTGCCAGAGCAACACAGAAAGTGCGGGGAGGTAGGATAATCATTATTACAGTCTGTGCAATAACTGAAAATATTTCAGAGACAAAATAGGAAAATGAAACATATACAAGAAATTATATAATATAAGCATGGTGCTCTGAGCATACTCTGAGAAAGTGACAAGACCACAGCTCTAACACGAGCTCGAATGTGAAAATTTTCGGTACTATGACACTCGCGTATTATTTCGAAACTTACAACAGCTTGTCAAGGATGTGTCACGTGCCGAACAAGGACTTGAAAATATGTTAAGATTATTAATCATAAATCTCTTTATCCCTTATTATTTTACAATTGTTACTTTACCTGAGGATTCGTTCGCATTGCCAGAAAATGTTCTGCTACGTGGGCAGGAAGAATGTTTTCGAGAAGAATCTTATTAATTCCACGCATAGTTTCCACGTCTTCTTGTTCTACTTGCAACTTCGCTTTCCAAAGGAAGTCTGTCCTTGACGTAAATTCTAGTTGTCTATCAAGTACATGAAAAAGAACAACTATAACAAGCAAGGGCACTGCCGACCGCACTTCGGGAGGCAGATCTTCGAACCTGGAACAAATAATTATTTGTCATTGTTCAAACAGCGAAAGCGCAATTCCTACCCCCTTCTAAATCTCTACCCTAGCGCATGAAATTGTTGTATGATATGATAGTAAAATAAACAACTCAATTAATGTATTATGTAATTTGTTTATTTAATTATGTCACGTTATTGAGAAACATCATGTGTCGAGATCTAAATATACTAAATAAACGTTTTAAGATACAATGCAACCTTCATTATCCATGGTTAGAATATCTTGGAATTCAATTATCAGGAGTATTTCATACTGAAAATGAATGGAATTTGTTTTTTAAAAAAATGGATGAATATGTCAGGACTAACTTACAATCTCGGAATGATTTAATTAATTTAATCAATTGATTTAGGAATGACTAAGGAAATGGTCGCGTTAATGAGAACAGATAATGATGTTTCAACATAATGCCTCTGGCATTATTTCTAGGATTTTTGCACGTTTCAAAAATTCAGAGAGCTCAACAAAAGTGAGACATGTGCCAAAATTGCATGCGTCTCTTACTCCAGACCCTTACACTTCGGTGGCGCTGGGCATCAACTGATGTTACTGCAGAGCTTCTGACCGGGAGGACCAAAGGTTCGAGTTCCGACGGTGGCAGGATTTTCGACACTATCTAGATAGGGAGGTCGAATTTATAGCGGCTGGCTGCTCTGATCGGTAGTTTTCCGCAGTTTCTTCGATAAACACCAGGAGAATACCTGAGTACTAACTTTAAAAACGGGCCACGTCCGCGCGCGATCTTTCGTTTCTCAGGAAATTGTGAAATATCGTTATTTGCACGAATAAATAATATATAATTAATTAATGAAAGTGAATGTATTCAGTATTTCATTTATGTTTTCACAATCAAAATATAACAAAGTGTCTATTTAATTTTTAAAGTTGCCATCGAAAAGATGTGCCCCCATTCGGCGATGACACTCTAATAGCATGTAATGAAAACTCTGGAATGCGCGGTGTAGCAAATCTTGGGAAATGGCAGTCATTTCTTTTTCATTGTTTTACTTCAGTTCAAGGACGTGTACGGTACACCTTGCCTTGAAGATATCCCCACAGGAAGAAGTGGCACACACTAAGATTAGGGGATCTCGCAGGCCATGCAATTTCACCGTTACGACAAATAACGCGTCTCCCAAACAACTGGCAAACGGCTGCCATCGATTGTCGGGCAGTGTTTGACGTGCTCCGTCCTGCTGAAACCACATGTATTCGATGTTAAGATTAAGATTGTACAGTCCTGGTGTAAAGAATATTTGAAGCATATCAACACATTGAGCTGATATTACTGTCGCTTAATCCGTAATGAAGACGCATACTGTCGAACGGAGCGGTGAGGACTTCTGTCGATGGCAGCTCGAACAGCTGCAGTGTTTTCGGGAGTAAGTACCGCTGGAACGCCACCTGAAGGTTTCTTTTTCTAGGCAGAACCTGCTTCTTTAAAATTACGCATCCACGTTTTAATCTCATGCACAGATAAGTCACGTCCATGACGTCCAAGCTGGTATTGCTGTCGGAATATTCTCTGCGCTGTAGTCGCACAATCATCATTTTTGTAAAATGCCCACATAGCACAATTCCAATGATCCGTGATTACTAAGTGGTAATGCGTTCACAATTGCGGAAAGTTTCGAACTGCCCACTCTACAGTGCTGCAAACTGTAACGTTCAAATTTTCCCTTTTCCCTGCGCGCCACATCAAGCAGCGCCTCACCTTCCGTACAGTTTTTGAAGTTTACAATACTGATCGGGAACTGAATTTTCAGAGATTGAACAACCTGCATGTTCAGATGCATACGAAGACGCAAGGCAAATAAGGCATTTTCAAATACGGAAGCATCGTAATTCTGGCAGCGTAGCGTGGAACGATTTCTAGCCGCCGAAGGCGTCGCACCATTTGGAATTCATTGCCTTGTGAAGGTGTACGTAGAAAACCGTGCCAGTCGTACGTGTACATGAGTGAACCAAGCGATTCCAACAGCGAACATTAATGGGGAAAGAACTGCGCCGTGGCCAGACCCACGTTATCATCGAAGAAAATGTGGCCGCAGACAATCTCAATCTCATTGGGGACATTAGGTACAGAAGTCGTAGGGGTACAAAATCCTAATGTCAGGCATGGGGGAGCTGTTCGAACATTCCCCGTAGAGTCAGAACTTGTCTTTGGGACTTGAGACTTTCAGTTTTTCGGCAGACTCCAAAGTGGCCTGGTAGAGCGCCGGTTTGTGTCGGTCGGTGTCATAATTGAAATTGTTTTCCGAGAGAGTTCTAACAAGTAATAGATTTATACATCTGATCTAACTCACCCGTCTATGGTTGTCTCATAGTAATCTCGGAATATCTGCAGGGAACTGTAGAGCCCCAAGTGAAGAGCGGTGGCCACCAGCATGATGCTCAATTTGAAGAGGAAGCCCACACGCAGAAACACCGAGATGGCAGCCAGAGACAGCACAGAACTGTAGAGGTAGGACTGAAATCATCACACGAATCCACACAAAAAATATATTATTTTAAAAGCTTTGGTTTAGAAAAAAAAGTATTGAGCCATGACACGTGAAGAGACAGATCATTATTTTACTTTAACATAAGAAATATTTTAGGGCACATAATTTCTGGTTGTAGAAAATAATTTAGATAATCTTTTACCTTGAATACTCTGAGATTTTTTTAACTGCTCAATCTCGTTCTGTATAATTGTTTTTTATATTGTGGGGACGGAACTTTGGAATTGTCATCCAGGCGGCGCCTCTTGTGTTTCCATGATGACGACACATGCTGAGCCAATCGGGTGTGAGTTATGACAACCAGCCGACCTACGGTTTCGATGGCACGTAAACCTCACCACATGCTCCGACGAAGGCATGGTATGAACTGGCGTGGACAGGGTCGTGGGTCGGCGCGATAGCTCATACAGGAATGAAACATATGCCTTGATACACTAAATGATAATCAAGATTTCCGGTGAAGGTTATTTTTTCAAACAGAAAACCCATTCAGCTAGCTAGGCAAGAATTTATAAACTTCGGTAACGTGCCTCTGGAGACATTAAAGGGACTTTCATTGACACATGCCTCTGAAAACCGAGGGTTTTTTTCTGAATCGTCGGGATATTCGTTTAAGTAAATCATATTATTGGAGTCTCTCTACTGTGTCAGTGTTTTATTCCTTCCGTCTTGAAGCGAAGTGTTTGGAACGGTACTCCACTAAAGAGTTATGCTCGTGAATTCACTGCGCGAATAATTTGAGCCAGACAGAGAACTAGTAGCGCTACAACAGCACATACGATTACTTTTCTGGTAACGGTTACGCGACTTTATAATATGGCAATTTCTCTCCAAACAGCCATCACTTGGAAAATCATGAACCAAACAAAGCTTAAGATGTGCGACAAAAAATATTTAATTTTTTTTGAAAATTCAAAAGTTTAAATTAAGATGGTTTTCTGTCAGTTCATTGTATTAAAATCTATTTTTACAAAAATAGTTTAAAAACAAATAAATATACTTACACGATTCGCGATTCGGACAGGAGAGAATTGCGAATGACGAGCCAAAACGCCAGCCCGACACTTATCCCAGCGTATCAGAATATCTCTATTTAGTAAGCTCTAATGATTTTTTAATGTTCAGGTGTTTCTAACACACCATAAATCAAAAACAAACGAAAACTACTAATAATTTGAAACGTGAATACTACGAATATGTTCAAATAATTTGTACGTGAAATTATTTAAATATATAGTATTGACAAATAGATTGCACTGACAAGAAGTATTATCCTCTATATTCAAGGTGTGAAACATGTTCGCAAAAATTGAACTCTGACTATTTGCGGATTATCAGACGTTGTTCGGAAGTCTGACCTACGTCATATTAATGAACAGTCTTAATTCTATTCGAGCAAAAAGAAAGATACAATTCGGTTTGTTTTTGAGTACTTGACATACTTTTAGATTAAGTACTTTTTACTTTCTCGCCTTACGAATTCTTCGTAAGAAAAGAAAGTTGTGTAATCCTGCGCCAGAAAAGGCCAAAATTTCACCAGAAGAAACCTATTGCCGGGTTCTCGTAACGAAGAAGTGGATATTCCCTGTTGCTAAATTTACAAAAACAAAAAAAAAACCTCTAACTCGTGATGTAACCAAAATCCATGTTTTGTTGGTTCCTGGTACCGAAAAATCGATTGGCAAAACTTATGTCTGTCCATCTGTCCGTCTGTGGGCCACGCTAGCGGCTAAACCATTCAGCCGATTTTTTCCAAACTTGATATTCCCCAATCAATCTGGCTGATGTCGCGGCCTGCGGAATTTGAAACCGATATTTTAATTTTGGGGGCTACTTTACATTAAGCCTCTCTGACATTTTCAAAGTTTTCAAGAAAACGGCTCCAAGTTTTTTTATTAAATGTTTTTGCTCAATAGTGCGAAAGACGAGATGACCTTCTTCGGAGCATTCAAAGTGTGGCTGCAGAAACCCGCAACAACTTTATGCGCGGCACAAAGGCGGTGAGGAGCAGATGTACACTTTGCGTTCACGAAAGAGGAAGCCATTTTGAACACTTGTAGAGCCTCTGTTACATGAGGTGAAAATGCAAAATTTTGGCTGTATAGCAAATATGATAAACTATCTTAAATAACAATTAAATAATAGTTTTTTCTCTCTCCTTCGTATTAGGTAAGTCGGCAATAATAGCAACAGGGAACAATAATTAATGTAATATGTGGGATAAATATTTTGCAAAATATGATTAATGACAAAACCTTTTTTTAAAATTTTGAATAGGGTTTACACTATTTTCTTTTGAAGTCATGAATAACTTAGTGTACTCTATGACCGGGTCCTGGAAGAGCAACGAGGACTCAATCACCGCGTAGAACCTGACTTGTAACCCCTGTAAAACTTTAAGGCAATATTTTTTCCGCATTAGACAATATTCCGCATTATGCAATGTATCACTGAAGAGTTTATGATTGCACGGATCGTCATTTGTGTTCACATTGGACAGAGCCACGAGCAAGAAACAAAACGTCTGTTTAAGCGTTTCTGTCCACTATGCTTAAGAAACAAAACTGTAATACTGAAAATGTGGAGAAAAGTTACGACTGTTTATCAATTTATTAACACCAACGTAACACTTCGGCTCAGAGAAAAATAAGGAAGATATCTCGTAAAACATTACTATCAAGCTCTTCATTATTTATAACAATAATGAATTATTATTATTATTATTATTATTAAGCAAATAAGAAAGCTTCAATAAAATTATTTAAAATACTAATAAAACTTAAATATGTAGTAAATTAATAGTTATTGAAAATAATTAATAAAAAATAATAAAATATAATTTGCTTAAAATGACCAAAAACGTATTTTCGGGTAAACGCTTTAAGTGACCACCATTTGCCAAGAGACAGACGATTACTCTTTTCAGTGCAGTGGCTGTAGTACGTTGACTAACAAAGACAGAAGAACTGCCGTCTCTTTCTTCCAACTCAAATATGACACATTCTCTCACACTGACATCTGAAGGCACACGGCCGTGAGTCGTTAAAATGAAGATTTTTCATGTGATGCCAAATTGCCAAAACAAGAGGAGGTGTTGGTTTCCAGACATGGGTTGCAAGTTAAGCTAAAGACTCTGTATATGTATGTATATATTGTGACGTCACACCCGCAACCAGGGGTGAGCACACACATTTATTTCGTTTTCCTGCTCCGGGGAAGGATGGGATCCAGGTCCTTCTTCTGCTGAAAGTCACCATTCACATTGAAATGAAGTTCAGTCTGAATGTTTTACTTTGTTACTCGGGCGCTGGTCGGATGGGGGCCACGGTCAAGGGCCCTGGCGACGCGACGGCGGCCAGTGCGGCCAGCGTTTTGGCCGCCCTGTCATGGGCGCGTCTGGGTGAACCCAGGGAGGCGTCACGCAGCGTCTCCTCGCTACAGGCGCGGGCGGCGCCCCGAATGCTGCGCCGGGGGTGCGTTAGGGTAACGCGACGTCACGGCCAGCACACATGCGCGACGTTCGCGACTGGAGAGACGCTGGTGAGGACTCGACGGAAAAGCCGAGAGCACGAGGGGATGACGCGTCCCCGTCATGATGTATAGCAACTGGGTAGGCGAGGGCGGCGCCTCGAAGGTTGAGCCCAGGGCGCGTCAGGATGGTGTGGCGGCACAGGGGTCGCTGCGCTCCTCTCAACTGTGTCCTTGCCGGTCTCCACTCATTAACTTTCTCAACTAAACTGCCGGACACCTCTCGGCTAACTAAAGTGAATTGCCGAACATCTCTCCTTCACTTATTGCTCCCTCTGCTCGCACGCCTCGCGGCCAACCGCCTGACCCCCTCACTCCCTCCACTGTTCCAACTCCGCGCCGCCCCTCATACCCTCACCGTGCTTCCCCACTACACTGCCCGTCTTGCCTCCTCCTCACTTACGGCACGTGCATAAAGGGGGTGACACACACACACACATGCACACACACTACACATTCTACTTTTTTTGAATATATAAATATATATACATATTCAAAAAGTCATTCGTGCTACGCCCTAAAGCGTAGATTTTTATCCAAAAAACGTAATTTAGATGAAATCAAAGCTTGAAATACGTACTTTAAGAATCTTGCCTCGAACAATTTACCTATTTCAATGCAATCGGCTAAAATTGCGACACACGCCATCAGTATTAATGACCCACATTTGAGCTGCACTGTTTTGTCTGAATTCTCTATTCACTGTTAGGCTGTATTGAACACATTTGTGGGGTCATCAATCAGGTTTTGCAGTTTCTAGACTTTAAAATACACTATATGTTTTTTGAAGACCCATGAGCAATTTTTTACCTCTGTTTCGGTGCGTGCAACAGTGCCCATGTCATCGATCCCACCGACCTGCCAAGCGCAGCGCCCGGGCCCGACACGGGCAGGGTGGCTCATTCATTAATTCATTCTGAAATGTCATCCATCCCCTTTTCCGTATTTCTTCTGCATTTTAAAGATATATGAATCTGCTAATGTATATAAATATAATGTTTGAATGTAGAATAATGTTAAATGAAGGAAACCGGACTTTTCAAGTAACGGAATTTGATTTTGAAGCTGCAAATTACGCAGTTAATTCAGAGGGAAGAAAAAAAACATCTCTTTCGAGACATGTGTATATCAGACGATGAATTGAGAAGGATTGTAGTCGAAGATTACCCTACACTCTAAAATCAGTTGCGGATCCCTTGCTATGCTCAGGCCGTCGAGCGCCATTACCGAAGCTTATCAATCAGTCTACAGATATGATGCGCGAAAATCGACGATAATAAGTTTCATAAGATCAAAGAAATCCATTTCAAATTTTGAAACAAAAAAATATATGGTGTCAGACAACTGAAAGAAAATCTTATATTCAAAAGTTGAAATAAAAACTTTGAAGTAATTTTTTGATGTTTTTCATATATAGTTTTTATGACTTTTTTCCTAAACATTGTGTTTCTTATAAACTTTTTCATCCTATGATGCATTAACACGGATGACCTTTTCAAATATTTCTTTACGAGTAAACTTTTTTTAAAAATGAGATACAAAATAGGATTTTTCACATTCCTGTAGCTTCATCAGATCGAATTGGCAATTGAAGTTCTTTTATTTTAATTCCCAAGACTTGCTATTTTCAGTAATTTAATTTTTACTACAGAAGACTTCTCAATTCTCTACATTCTTTTGTACTCTGAAATGTTTTTACGATCGAGAAAAGTGCTGTTCTGTGTCAATGTTTAGGTCCAAAAATTGTCATTGCTACCCATCGCACGATGGCCGACTGGCCGCTGTAATAAGAGTTTTTCTGCAGAAAATTCGCTGTTTTTCCGTGCAGCATTACATAACTTTCTCTCTACTCCGTAGCGAGAAAGTATTAGGGAACCAATGGAAGAGTTACGAACATTGTCATATAACATGTTAAGGTAGAAATATTTACTATATTAAATATTTGATTTTTTATAATAATTGCAGTCCCTCTAGTGGCTCGTGGACAGCGTTCTAGTTTCCCGTGGTGATATCCCGGATTAGATTTTTGGTCGGAGCAAACATAGAGTTGTAGCTTTCCATTACAATCGTCTTAGTTTCTACAGATATGTGACGACAGAAATACTCAGGAAGGCCAAATATGAGGGATACGGTGAAGGAAGTATTTCATTCTCGGCAGACGCCTCCCTTACCCTCAGACGTGGATAGTAAAATAAAAAAGAGGGCCCAGGCATATGGACACCGCAGCTGGCAAAAGTCGGATTAATCCGACCCTAAAACGTCAAACACATATAATAAATGTTAAGCTAAAAATACAGTGAATTAAGAAATTAAAATTGTACTTACCGGAACCAGTAATTGTGGTACAGCATCCATCGAGAGTAAGGTATTATTCACTTCTTGCTGTCTTTGCAGTATTTCATTCAAGTTTGACGTAGCTGGTAGATCTATCTGTAAGAGACATAAATGTATCAGTTTTTATATGCAGGAAGGAAAAGAAAGATCGTGGAAGACAACGGTAAAATATCTGTCTAATAAAGGACAATAGAGGAGATCGGGTCTCCTGAGAGATTTTGTTGAGTTGGGTTTTTGAGTTGCAGTTGAGAGATTTTGCGCTGCACCGTCTTAGATTTTAAAGTTTGATTGTATCAATAGAAACTAAATTTGTTAGGCTTCTTTATGGTATTTTTCTTCGTGTTTGTCAAACTCTTGGAGTCGTAAATATCATCAAGTCAAGATGTGCAAACCAACACCGTTATGTGGGGTTGGTTGGCACTGGCCTTAGAGTAGGTTGGCACACTACTTCCGTGAGCGTGTGGAGTAATAAATCAATGTCAAAATGAATAATTTTCAATTTTGTATTCACAAACATAAATGCAAACAAATTTATCACCGATTGGTCTAGAACAGAGTTTGCCAACTAGAGAAATGACGTCGGAGTTCCATTCGCCTCCCCGAGCACGCGGTAAGAGAAGCAGCGCGAGCAAAGGAGGGACGGAGAGAGGGGTAGACGGCTGTCGCCGATGACGATAACCTTGGCAGTCACAATGGGCCTTTGCCGGTGTTTGAGGCAACATGAGAGCCCTTCTTCGCCCGTTGATTTTCTTTCGATTTCGAAAGAAATCTTTCTTTCTGTAGATACCGTAACAATTGTAAAGTGTTTAGTGTGTTCGAAAGAATTGCAGTATGTTAAAAAGTTCTACTGACAGAGGCATTAGGCAGACTTGCAACCCAGAGAAACCCGCGAGATGAAAACAATTTCTCAGAATTTACAGGTAGCCTGCAAATTGAGATAAGAAAAGGATTTAGCAGATAGGTCATGGTACTGAAAATCACGAGGATTTACAAACAAAATTGTACATGGAATAATCAAGCCTGGAGTCCAAATTCTCCCAGGCAACCACTTCTGAGTATCTGTTTGTTAATATTAATTACATAGGTCTACAAAATTTAAACAAATGTCAGACCCAAAGACTTGGCTATGTTTCTCTATGTGTATCGACCCACTGAATCCGAAGCCACAATTGCGCCACCACTCCACCAGTTGTTGTTTTCTTTAAATTGCGGGAAAAAACGCTGAAATAATGAATTGTAAGTTTCGCTGTGTTTTCTTATCTTTTATACAATAAAAATAGCTGTGCTGCAGAATGGCACTGACTTTCCCATATTGGTTTCCTATATCCATTGGTCTCGGCTAGCTATTTGGACTTCCACATACTCTTGCCAGCCACCATCTATCGCCGGCCAAAGTATATTTTTTAAAGAAATTCTTAATTTTTCGACTTTGTAATAGTAGAATTAAATTTTTGCTTTAAAAATAACAAAAAAAGTAAAACCTTGTTCTAAATGGCAATTTTCATTGAAAAATTTGGAGCCGTTATTTAAAAAAAGCATTTTAGCGCTACTGTAAATTCGAAATTTGAACATCTTTTCACACAAAACTATTTAGTTTTCGAAAACCTTCATATGACGTCATTTCAAGCACTTCCAGTCGCAAATGCAATATTGTTTACAAATTGCTTGAAATGTGGATATTAAAGAAAACATATGAAGCCGTTTTTCAGAAAATTTTGTTTTCGTAATTTTTTTAAATTGCACATATTTTACGGAATATTACGCGTACACTATTAAAATTTTCAAAAACGTGTACACGATTTTCATGAAAGAACTCTCTATCTACTAGAACAAATTTTATTTGAAGGAAAAATGTCTATTTTTAATTTTGTAGCCGTAGGAAGACACCGAAAACAATTCATACTTTGAAAATTTCCAAAATTCACAGTTAACCGTGAAAATCAGACATATGACACTTTTATAAGTATTAAAATTGCATTACTATAATAATCTATTCTGACAAGAAATTTAAAGAAAAAATTGCAGTCGTTTTTGAGAAAATTTTAAAAAAGTCCGGAGGGCTTCATTTAAAGTAGCCCCAAATTGTGAAGAATGTTTTTCAAAATCTCAAAGTTTCGACTCGTGTCAGATGGAGAGAGGTTCTTCAATTTGAAAAGAATGCACGCATGGTTTAGGAACTAGTGTTCACAGACACCAGACGGACAGACGGATGGACAGACGGATGGACAGACAGACTGACACACAGACGGATGTTTTGAAAAAATAAACCCTTTTTCGTTATCTGAGGACCCCAAAACGAGAATTTACGTTGAAATCTCGAAATCTATTTTCCGCAGTACGAAATATTACGCAACTTTCGCTATACTACTTATATTACTCCGTATATACCTACGCATACGGAAAGGTTAATCTGGAAGGTGGTGGGGACAATCCTGGCTTCGGATTCAGACACAGCGCATTGACATACATAATGAAATAGGTGTCAAGTCTTGAGTCTGACAACATATGGCTTCTGTAGAGTATAATGCTACAAGGCACCAATCAACTATGCATGTGTTTTTCACAATTTTAAAATACTAGAGAGCGGTGGCGGAATTGGTTTGGGATTCGGATTCAGCGCATCGACATACATAGCGAAACATGAGTGAAGTTTTTGGGTCTGACAACAACCCCCGAAAACAAAAAATACAAGTTCACAGTGGATATTCGCGATTTAAAAAACTGTAGCGTGGTGGCACAATTCTGGCTTCAGATTCGGATGAAGCACCTTGACAAAGAGAAACATGTGTCAAGTCTTCAGGTCTGAAACGTTCTTTTTATTTTGTGTCTGTGTTATAGGTTCAGGACGAACTAAAATATTTATATTACATAACATTGTATTAAATATTGTATTACAATGTTAAAACAGTTTTCTCTAATAAAGTTTTGTGTTGGGTGAATGGAAGTGGAATTACTGGCTACGATAGAGTCGGCTCTGCTTTGTGTAATGAAATAATCAACGTTAATTGTTTTTAATTTGTCATATTTTATTGTATCACAAACGTTTAAATAATAAATACCATACACACCAATCGTAATTATCGAGCAAATCTTCTTCCCCCACTACCGTACCATCATTGGAACACTGTACGCCCGGCGCCGGGAATTGCCTTTGCTCGGCCGGTCCGAACAGAGCAAGAGATCAGTTTTTATGACGTCACAGAGCAGTTGGCAAGCACTGATATAGAAGAACAGCCTCATATTGGGACCTACAGCAGACTTGGTAGTTTCAAAATTAAGTACTTAAAAATATGTCTTTAATTTGATTTAGTATTTTACCTCTTATCTACTTGTAATAAAACTGCTTATTGTGTTGATGAACTCCCACTCGCATCAAATTTGCAGAACGTACATGCCATCAGTAGTGAAGATTCGAATGAAGACAGTATATTTCTTTTCCCTTTCTTTATGTACAGTATAAAGAATTTAATATCGTCGATAATGCAGAAATCCACACTGAGGTAAAAAAAAACATTGCATACCTCCTAAAATCGGGTCGGATCTTCTTTTGCCCGTCAAAGTGCAACAACCCGACTTGGCATGGGTTCAAGTCGTTGGAAGTCCCCTGCAGAAATATTGAGCCACGTTGCGTCTATAGCCGTCCATAATTGCGAAAGTTGCCGTTGCAGGATTTTATGTACGAACTGACCTCTTGATTATGTGGAAAAATGTTCAATGGGAGCCATGTCGGGCGATCTTGGTGGCCAAATTATTCCCTCAAATTATCCAGAATGTTCTTCAAACCAATCGCGAACAATTGTAGCACAGTGACATGGCGCATTTCCCATACAAATTCTATCGTTGTTTGAGAACATAAAGTTAATGAATGGCTGCAAATGGTCTCCAAGTAATCCTTTCCAGTCAATTATCGGTTCAGTTGGGCAAAAGAGCCCAGTCCATTCCATGTAAAAACAGTTCACACCATTATGGAGCCACCACCAGTATGCACTGTGCCTTGTTGACAACTTGGGTCCATGGCTTCCTGGGGTCTGCGCCAAATTTCGAACACTTTCATCAACTCTTACCAACTGAGATCTGGATTCATCTGACCAAGCCACGGTTTTTCAGTTGTCTGGGGTCCAATCGAAATGGTCACGAGCCCAGGATAGGCGCTGTAGGCGACGTCGTTTTAAAGCATAGGCAATCGAGTCGGTCTGCTTTCGGTCATTTAGTGAAGGCCGTCGGCCACTGCATTGTCAGTGGTGACAGGTTATGCCCGAAATTAGGTATTCTCGGCACACTCTTGACTCTGTGGATGAAATACAATAGTATTACTTAATTCTTGCATGGCATTAACTTCCAAATTTTTAGATTGTTTTGAGACCCTTTTAAATAAATTAGCACTTACGCTACTTTGTGTAAAACAATTTTGAATATGAACTATGGATGTTTGATATATAGACATAAAAGCACCAGAATATGGATATACAGTAGAACCTTGGCTTCGTTTGCGAGTGTTCCAAGTCGAGCAAAAATTTTGAAAATGTTTCAACTCAATATACGAGCAATGCTTTGCAATACGATTAGAAATAGTTAGCTTCCTCTTCCCTCCCACAGCGGCATTGTGCGCAGAGCGATTTTCTCTCTCCCTGTTTCCCCTCATCCTTTCCGCCTGAGAAATTGCTTCTCTTTCACACTGTCGACGGAAAAGGGAGGGGAAGCCCTAGTCTTGCCCGATTTACATTTTCTAAGTTACCACGGGTGTTGAGGGTTACAGATTTGCTACGACTGCAGTCGCATTCCTTGAGAACAACTACCTTCGCCGAAACAGTAGTTTGGAGCAACTTCAAAACGCCATCTCTCGTCATTCCTGCCCTCGAATCTATATGAATCGATAGTCTTGTACTGTGAACGAATCAGCTGCATTTTAATTATTTCTTGTGGGAAAATTATCTTCGATACACGAGTGTATTGGATTTAGAACAAATTTCTAGAACGGATCATGCTCGCAATCCATGGTTCTATTAAAGGTTCTACATAAAGGTAAACATAAAATCAGGTAATGAATTGCAATAGGCTATCGACTGTAGTAAAATGCGAAGAGTTCTGGAATATTCTGGAAATACATACGATGTTGGATTCTCAGAATGCATAGTGCGTAAACGACTACAACAAATATTAAAGAAATTAAATTGGAGTTTTCCATTTGAAGTAGGATGCAGGGGCAACAATCGCAAATAGACAAAAAGCTCACCTGGTGGCCCCTTTACGATCTCCTTAAAATTGTTTTGAGGCCCCCTCGAGGACTTAAGTTTTAAATTAAATTGTGTTCTACTATTCATCACAATAAATTATTAATGAGGATATTTAATTTTGTGTCGTCATTTTTGATACGTTACCTCTTCAGTAACCTAATGTGGTCCTTTTTTGGCGTTGAAACATCTCAAACGTTCAGGGGGTAAAATATCAAGTAGCCATTACTGCCATCTGATCTCTATCAAAATGTTGCAATTTTCAAGTGCACTGGTGGTTCAAAAACAGGGTTTAAAAATTAATCAACAAAAAACAGAGCAGGTAGAGAATTGTACACGCAGGCTTCCGTGGCTCGAGTTCATGACTTCTACGCTGTCCGGTGACGCCGCGTCGTTGGCACTGCCTCTCTGCCAACGACGCGGCGTCACTCGGACAGCCTAGAAGTCAGGTGGAAAATTGGCTGTAATTGAGATGGAAATCTATTCAAAATGAGGTAAGATAATCGTCCATTGAGTTCCACAGAACGAAGTTAGGGATATAGCCCAAGAATTTTGAAATAATTACGAAAATGTTCTTAAATGTGACCACTAGAATGACAAACGGATGCAGTCGTTGCTAGAGCATTATCTCCGGGTGCATTAAATGCCAATTCTTCTGAAATAAATCCACAATTGTTCTAACATTGCGAGTATCGACGGGTAAAGTGCTATCTGTAAATATTATATTTTTACATATGTTGATAGTTTCACGTTAGTGAGACAATCAACGACAATCAACCAGAGAACTTTTTCTATTTAGTTTTTAAATAAAAACAATTATTTATAATGTTCTGTTGTTAATGATCTTGTTCATGCTGGGAGAAATCTTCAAGAAATGTCCAAAAAGCCATGGGAGATCTCAACACCGCCGCGCGCGCTGAAGTGTAATGAGTTTCGACTAAAATCGGCGCGTGCAGCGCAGGGTTAAAATGAATTGTTTTTATCTACATAATGCATTAGGCATATTTTTACTTTGATATGAAAGCGTTCAATTATCTTATTTCTTGAGAATGCAAATATTCGCCTTGTTCTGGAAAGCGAATTTTGGTAGTATGATGCGTAACCATGACTATACAATATGTAGAATGTTATAGTTAACTGGATTTATGGTAATGTAGAATTGATACAAATATCTACTCCGACTGCAAATCGAACTCGCTTCTCTCCGAATTCTGGAACAACACCGACACTGAGCCATCTATTCGCTGCTCCAACCCTTCTGTTATAACAACACAATTTAAATTAAAGAAACAGAAAGCAATATTACAGATACAAAAGCTTATGTCAATTCAGTTTCATGAGAAGGAATCACAGAAGTCTTTCACCTCTATACTATTGCTATTTACATCTCAATGGACGCAGAAATATTTTATACGCTCTCCAATAATGGCTACTAATGTATTTAGGACGTTAAGAAGATGTTTTTGCCCCGTGGGTGACTTCCAACCCCGATGGCCTCTGGCTAAAGGAGTTGGAAGTCGCCTGAGGGGCAAAAAATCTAGAAACGCCCGCGGTGCATACAAATCTTTATGGTACCTTGCTGAATCAAACGAGAGTTCGAAGCATTTTTATAGCTTTTTTTAAACCTCTAAAGTGAAAAGATGAACTGTAATCGTCAATAACAATAACATTAACAATCACAATAACAATATGACGTCAGATAAACAAAACAATTTGTATCTAATTACTTCTACACGCTCGTTGTTGAACTGAATTTTTCGTACAAAATGAAATTATATTTTGAAGTTCCTCGCAGAAGCTAACAAAGGAATGGACAGTGGTTTCCAGGTAAAATTTCGAGAAATATGTGAAAATGGTTATGAGCATTTGAAAGTAATATAGAAAATAAGTGTGAATGGCGCTGATAAATTGGTACTTATAGGTTATTTGCCTCTATCGTCAACCACTATTTCGAATATTTCATAACTTCAAAAAATGTCATTTTGAGGATACTAGCTGTTGAGTCTTATACTTCTTATTACTACTAGAAGTATTGCTACTTAAGAAGCACATATTATATCTTTTAAGGAAGGTGATTCGTAATACTAAAATATGAGCAACTGATGGCAATTATAAATTCAAGGAAACACATCAATTAAGCAAAATATGATTTATAACGAGTTATTTTAATTATTTGAGTGTTATGCTATTTATTTATTTATTTATTTATTTATTTATTTATTTATTTATTTATTTATTTATTTATTTATTCTTTTATTTATTTATTTACACAAAAGCTATTTTGTTGCTGGAAGAGTTAGACAGAATTATTAGTTTGTAAAGGCAATGTCAATACACATTTAGAGAGAAAATATAATTACATGTGTGCAGAACGCGAACACCATCGGAGTGGACCGAATTCTTTTGGGAATGGAGGCTGAATGAAAGCTGCACGACGTTCAAGGTTGCGGAGGATTTGCGCAGGACAGTAGCCAAACGGGGAACGTTTATTTTTATCTGTATTTGTCATTGTAGGAAGATCAAGTGTTGTATTACAGTAAAATTTCTAAATTGATAATGCCAAAGGAAGGAATTTGTAGTGAGTATTAGATAATGAGAATAGAAGAATTTTTGAGGGGACATGTGGTTATGAAAATTGTTATTGTTTTTGTTTGCAATATAATATTTGAATGAATATATATGCTTCCAGATTAATACACATATAAATGTTCTAACTGAAGTAAGTATTGTTATTTCTGAGTAACATCCAGAGAGTTACCAATCCTGCCTAAAAAGGAAATAAAATAACTCCTTTACGTAATATTTCGCTACAGAGAATCTGTATAGACGGCCTATGACACCCACACATATATACAATTGTATCACGACGAGGCGATCTTGGAATAACCTTCGGGTAATAGTTGGGTGAAATGTGGACTTTTAAATTTTAAATTCAAGAAAATAATTAAACAAATAGGTATGAAGAACGGTCCTCAGTCAGATATGAGTAAGAGAGTTTCGTTAATAGAATGCTCCGAGAAGACTAAAAGAAGATACAAAATCAGAATTGAGGACGTTTTTGTTTTTTATGTCATAATCTATCAATTATAATTACTAGTAAATTGTTATCAATCGGTTAGTGTTATCATATTAGCTGCAGTCCGGAGCGATAACAAGAAGCGACATCTTCTGCATATGTAATTAACAGTAATTTATTGTCAAAAGAGTCCACGCTTTTCATGGTCTATAATAAAAAGGAAGGATAACAATATTTTGCAATTTTGATTCGTAAAGATGTGCTTTTTTAATGCTCATACATCTTCAACCGCAAATATCACAAAAAGTTTCTCTAAATTTTCAGCACTTGTGTTCTGAACGCCTCATCGGTAAACTCCCCTGTGGCGCAGCTTGGTGGTTCCGTGCGGGACGGCTCTCGGTGAGGCACAGGAGGAGGAAGTAGTGGAGGCAGGATGGCGGGGGAGCGAGAGCGAGAGAGAGGCAAACATGCCACGCACCAGGGTGATGACGGCGCAGACGGCGATGAGGGTGACGGAGACGAGGAACACGCTGAGCCGCAGCCAGCGGCTGGCGCTGACGGCGCCGGGCCGCGCGCCCTCGAAGTCGGTGGGCGGAACCAGCGCGGCGGCCGGGACGGCGGCGGCGGCGGCGGAGCCGGGCGTGGCCACACGCTCGCCGCACGCAGCGTCCGCCCAGCACAGGTAGAGGAAGAGCAGCAGGGCGGCCAGCGTCGCGCCGCTCGACCCCCACAGCACCACGCTCCTGCGCATGCGCGGGGCAACGCTCGCCAGGCCGCCTCTGGGCTCGCGCTGGCAGTCGCCGCTCATTAAGCACTCCCGATCGCACACAAAGCGTTTATAATGCACTCTCTGAATGCTCAGAATGAGCTTCGTTTCTGGTTCGTGTTTACGAAAGCGTCGAGGGAAAACGAATGAGATTACTGCGCTATACGTTTTCAGAACGAGGGCATGAGTAGGTGTATTTTCAGCGCTCCGTTCATGATCTAACGACTCGTCACGTGCAACCTCAAGTTACTTCTAAATTGTTAGTGGCAAGTGATACAAACACAGGGAAACTGATCATGTAATATTGTGATTAGAATTTTACTTCTTGTTTAGATTGATTGATTGGATAGTCCGAACTACTAAGGTCATTTGTTCCGTAAGTGTAGTGCATGCCGTGACATCAGTTGATGCCGTGAGCCACCCTTTGCCGTTACGACATTTTCCTGTATTTCTTTGTTGGTTTTCAAAAATTATACAAATATAATTTTTAGATAGTCTCTAGCGTCCTTAACATTTATATTACAGGTGATTTTTATCAATTTTTGCATTTGTGAGTATTTGTGCTTCAAATATTGTCTTATGAAGTTTCTCGAAAAATGTTCTGTGAAAAATTGCTCAAAATTGCTAATTAAAAAAAAACGATCGATCACTTTCTGAAAACCTTGACCAAAGTTGTCTATAAACATTTTGTACGAATAGTGCTAAATGCACTGAATAACATGACATAAACGCCCTTTTATGTATTCTTTTGATTTTTCAAAAATTACACAAATATAATTTTTTAAATATATTTCACGTCGTTACTATTTATATCAGAAGTTTATATACAATATTGGCTTTGTGAGTATTAATACTGCAAATGGTTTCCAATTAAGTTTTTTGATTTTTTTGGTGAAAACCAGCTCCGAAACCAAAACCAGCGCATTTTCAAAAGAGGTTTTCCCCCAAAAGGATCCAATTTTTTTCACGAAAATCTGCATACAAGATCATGGTTTACTCTTTTATAATATTCTTAAAGTCTTGTTTCAATTCTACTCTTCGAGGACTGAAAAATTAGAAAATCTGAAAATTGTTATTTATGCACCAAATGCGTTATAAGGGTTCTAATAAACACTACTAGTGCCTAAACAATACGTAGGACTTATTTCAAATCGAAGAAACACCTATCCATCTGGCTCTAGTTGAAGCTCTGAGATTTTAAAAACCATTCTTTAAAATGGGGGTACTTTGCATGAAGACCCCCGGATATTTTCAAAATTTCCTCAAAAATTGCTCCACATTTTTTCTTTAAATTTCGTTTAAAATTTTTTCTTTAAATTTTGGTTAAGAATACACTTATAAAATTGGCGTAGGTCCTATTTTCACGGTTAACTCTGAATTTTCAAAAAATTCACAAGTATGATTTTTTTCGATGTCTTCTACACCCTCTTACAACTACAAAATTGAAGATATAGGTTTTTTCTTCAAATTAAATTTGCTGTCCCTAATTAGTTCTTTCATTAAAGTCATGTACAGTTTCTAAAACTTTGAGTAGTTTTCACAAAATATTGTGTGCAATATTTGCAATTTTACAAAATTACACAAATAAGATTTTCTCAAAAACGACTCCAAATTTTTTCTTCAAAGTTTTGGTAGGGATATTACTAAATGTACTCTATAAGATGACATAAACGCAACATTGCTCTATTCTTTTGTGTTTTCAAAAATTACAAAAATGTATTTTTTGACGGGTCTCACATCTTGTACCTTTTTTGTGGAATCGATTAGTTTCTTCGTTAGGCGGGCGAAGATCCCTTTTTTAAAGAGTTTCCTGACTTTGCAGTCAACTATCAGGTACATTTTGCAGATTAGCCTGTATTTGGCGACCACAACGTCTAGCTATTTTCAACCGCTGACAATAATAAGAGGAAGGGCGGATCATGATTCAGAAAGCATCTGCGCCGGGACGACTTGTCTTCTTTCAATTTTTTCTTCAAAATTTAGTCATCGTGTTAATTGCACCTAAAAGTCTACTTCCCCCGTGAATTTTTTTCGATGGGTACTATACGGGAGTTGCTCTAGTTAGAAGAAGAGTAATAGGCAGAGGGTATTTTTCTGGACGATAGGAAGAAAGAGGTTCTGGAAAGCGAGGAAGAGTTTCAACAAGAAAACTTGCAAAAAGGCGGAAGTGCAGAACATCACAAATAAACACATTTTAAAACAAAGGGGAAATTCAACGGGAATGGGAAGAAAAGTGACGTGAAAAGGATATGAGTACAAATACAGGAAAGCTACTACATGAACTGCGACACTCCATACTCTGGCGTTTGTTTTTTTTTTACCGGATAATATGTATTCACCTAAGACAGATCACCAATAATAAGACGTTCCAGAAAATGGGGATCGTTTTCAATTGCTTCCAAAACGTCATGGCACTTTTCCTTTCTGATGTCTTTGCTCTGGTTGCTCACAAATTCTCGCATTATTTCTAAATTTACAATTTTCGAAAGTTCAGGGTTCAACGAAAATAAGATCTGCGCCATTCTTTTAAGTGTTCCTTGTTCTATCCCGTGAAAAATGGAAGACTCAATTTGGAGCGGTTTTTCGCAAAATATTTTTTTATAAATTTATATATATTGCGGGAAAATTACTGAAATTTTAAAAAAACTATGCCTAACCTTAATGAAAGAAATCATTATAGAGGACAAATTTTATTTGAAGGAAAAATCTCTCTCTTCAATTTTGTAGTTGTAGGAAGACGCCGCAAGAAATTCCAAATTTTACGATTTCCGAAAATTTGGAGTTAACCCTGAAAATCGGATCTATGTCACTTTTATAAGTGTATGTTACTCTATTCTTACAATAAATTTAAAGAAAAAATGTGGAGCCGTTTTAGAGAAAATTTTGAAAAGGTTTGAGGGCTACATGTATAGCATCCCCAAATTTTGAAGAATGTTTTTCCAAATCTCAAAGCTTGGAAAAGATGCAGGTATATTAACAAGTATGACGATATGTTGTTCATGGAATAGGGGATTTTGGCAATCCCCACGCATTTATGTATTACGGGTTGCATTACAGCGTGCCGGAGGGGCAGTTTGTTTTGGATGGTGCGAGGAGACTGAGCAGGGAAGAGGGCAGAGCGGCCAGGGGTCATCAATAAAATTACTTTAAATTGGACTACTACCAGAAACCGTTCCTTTTCCTGCCTAAAAGATAATTGAGATAAATGTCTCAGAAATGCTGAGTTATTTCAACTACTATCCTTAAACCAACATAATATTAATTTTGCCTCATGAAATTTGGCTCCCCGTCTTTCACAGAAAACTTGCATCCTTAACATCACACAGCCTTATTCACTTTCATGTTTTGCTTACATTTTTTAGATTTTTCTGTTCTAAACTGCGGTGATAGTATTAATCATGGTTAAATGCACACTTTTTTACTCTGAACCTTCGGAAATTATTAATTTATTTTTAACAAATTCTGCCTAAAAATAACAGAATTAATTAACAGTGTCATATGTTTTACTGTTATTCTGTGGTCACCTTCTCCCCGCACTCAACACATGTTTCATTACCTGGCGTCAAGACTTTCTGAACTTTCTGAGTACATACATTTGCATGTATTTAAAAAAAGGCACAAGTTTATGTATTAAATTTGGATCATGGATAGCGTAAATAACGTTTAAGAGAATGGTGCAGGTCTCATGTTCGTTGAAAAATGCCTGATTTTTCTAAAATTAAAAAAAAATAATTTTAGCGTCTTCCTACAACTTTAAATGTGAAGATACAATTTCTTTCTTAATGAAAAGTATTCATCAAAAATAGATCTTCAAACAAGATCACGCTTAAGTTGTAGAAAATATGAGTATTTTTTGTGTAATTTGGCATCAAACACAGTCGCTCGCATGAATTTCCTGCGCTTCGTGAACGTACTATGAGAAGTGATTCCAGGCAGATCGATGTTCCGTAAGTTAGAATTAGTTAATTATTTTATAATTATTTTAGTGCTTTTATTATACTTATTACCTGATAGATCAGTTTATTCAGATTAGTGTGGTTGCTATTTGTTTTAGCGGGTGTACTGTAAATAGCGCCTCTTGTGAGTGGCGCCCGTGGCACGCGCCGTCTCCGCTACACCGTCGATTCGCGTCTGCGAGCAGCTCTTTACCGTCACCAGCGGCGCGGCATCGCTTACCGGGGAATGGCGAGCGCCTGGATTGCAGCCATGCACACGAACAGCAGGGCAGCGGCAGCCACGTAGTAGTGGAAGTGAGCGTCGGGCTCGTTGCGGTAATCACGTTCCAGGGAGTCCTTGCGGAACCACAACAGCGCAGGGTTGAGCTCCTCCGACTGCAGCCACTTCCTGCGCAAAATAGTGCACATCGCTCAAACGCCACCTCACCCCTCAGCCGCTTTCCAACGGCTTCCACGTTGGGCAAGGCTCTCCACTCACGCAATAATTCCTATGGACACCGAAAAATGTACCATGGTTCATACCATACAGACAGCTTGAATAAGAATTCAATCTCGAACACATATACCAGCTCGTCATATACCTATCCACCCTTTTCTACTCTCACCTAGTGTAAATACAAAATCTATCAGGATTCATCCTAACCAAATATTTTCCGAAATGGACCCCTTCCTGCGGTTACCTTAACTTCCAGCCAGCGGCCAGGCATTCTTCGTATATTGACCTGAATAAAGCGATCACCTCTAGAGAGTTTGAGCAGTAATAGAATAAGAAACGGAAGAGCGGTGCATATTATTGTTGATTCTGTATATTCTTGCGACAGGACGCATTATCGTATTACTTACAACAGTAATATCTGAAGACGTTTCTCTTTCGGCGAGATTAACTTACTATTAAAATAAGAAAATATGTCTTTAATAAAGTTTCTTCAAGAAATTTCAATGCACTCCCATTCCATAGCATCCACGTGGAGCTTGAGCTGTCACAACTTCCCCTCTCGGAGCTTGTCCAGGGCTTTCGGCTCATCCTGCGTGCGCGACACAGATCTGAAATTCACTCTTTGACCCTTTCATCTGATAGCTGAGTTTTTCAGTTTCTACCTACGGACTAGGAATGGCATTTTGCATCTACTTGGCTTGCGAGTTTGATTGAGGTAGAAAAGTGGTTTTCGAGTGAAAGTGAGTGGAATAGTGTTTGATACAAGCCAAGGGCATGCCTTTGATCCAAGATTTGAGTTGTTGCATTAGTAGTTTAAGATAATTAACTATTCAGTATAATGGGGGTATATTCTGCTCAAGAAAGCACAGAAGAGAATTATATTTTTTTACTAAACTTATATAGTAATATTCTGTCTACGAACTCTCTCATATTTTATTCTTAAATTCAAAAATATTTATAGTGCACAAATTACATTTTTTCAGAAAAAGACTTCTCTAGGAGATTGTTTCTTCGATTCCAGTCCTGCGTGCAGCAACGCAGCGCCAGGGAACCAAATATTTCTAGTCGGAATCCCTCCATGCGTCCACCTTCGCCCCTTGCCTTTCATGTGTATGGTGTGGGCCGTGTGCGACATAAGTCTCTTACTGATCCCAGCAACGAGGGGCCTACAAGTGTAAACATCCAACGTCTAGCTCTAGTGTATGGTCCGAGGAATATCTCTTATGGGAAAGGGAGAATTTAGGGATGACTTTTCGATTTCCAAGATTAAAGATTGAAAATACGTTGTTTGATTAATGTAGAGGCACTAAAGAAGTAATGAACTAACTATTAAGTTACTAAATCTTTACCAAAATGTGCCCCGTTGACTCTCTTGCACATGTGTCGATGTTGCTCCCAAAACAGAACAGTGTGGCATCTGAAGTAATCAGCGTATTACAAAGTCATAAAGAGCATTAACTCCAGAAATTAAATAACATACTTTGAGTAAACAATGAAAAATGGATTAAATGTGACATCACAGAAAAGTCAGTTTTGCTCAGGTTTTAGAAACAAAAACTTTCATTTTGCTCATCTAAGGAACAGTTGCGCTTGTGCAATCGCGGAAATGTTGCAATCACTACTCAGGTTAAAATGCTATCGACTAATGTGTCACTATTCTCTCGGAGCATGTAGTGTTAGACAGCTGAGGTTACAACGGCCTAACTGCCCTCTGACAATTTAAAGCGGAATTTCAATGTGACTGTTTCGATTGTGCTGTGATTCGATTGGTTGACAGTCGCTTCTTAGGAGTTTAAATTATTCATCTCACACCTGACCTCAAGTATCTTTTACTGTTTCTTACTTGTTCTAGAGTTCCCTATCGAAGATGGTTAACGAACAAGACCACATACATATTATGCTTGAGAAAACATTTATAAGAGCATGTCAGAAGCATAGGATACTACTCAATTTTGCAATAAATTCGATCTCTTCGTGTAGTTAGCGATTTGGGGGTTAACAATATCGAATTCCAACCTTGATTGATTTATTGATTAATTAGTGATTCCAGGCGCGTCATCTGCTGTCATTAGTACCCTAAGTGTAGTGCATGTTTATCTCAGGAGATGGCTGTGATCTTTCCCCGCTGGTTGGTCAGATCCGGCACCGAGCTACACGTCGGCTTGCGAGGTTTCCCCAAATAGGTATTTCCCACCAGCCGGGACAAGCTCTAAGTTCCCGACAGGTTTCTCGGCATGTTTTGCAGTGTAGTGCATGTAAGTGCAAGTAGGGGTGACGATGAGACAAGGAAATGGAAGGAAAGATCGCGTGCCGTTCGTTTATTGTACTGTTGAGCATTGCTCCGTCATTCACCTCGTATTAATCGGAGAAACCACGGAAAACTACCGATCAGAGCAGCAGGCCGCGAGAATTTTCCTCCATACACCGGTTGAATTCAACCGAGCAATCCAGCTAGTGCCACCCTCGGGACTCGAACTGTAGGACCTTCCAGGTCAGAGGCACTGCTGTGACATCAATTGATGCTCTGAGCCACTTAGGTGGGCCGGTTTGATGGATTGATTAGTGATTACACACGCGTCACTAGCTGTCATTAGTCATTTTTGTTATTTAAGGTCACATCAACATCTGGGTCATCAGTGACCACTATTGCATTTATCGACATGATATGGTGATAATAGGGGATGAAAGGACGACCACAAACACATCCATGTCTCAGGAAGGACTCAGACTCGCGATCCTTCGGTTCGAAATCGCTACGGCACTACTGACTTAACGATCTCGGCCATCCGGGTCGGCATTAAATATTTTTAAGATGAGCCTCTGTGGCGGTTGTCAAGAGCAAAGTGTGCGATTTGGAAGTACAATAAGTATTTACAGGAGAGATAATCTATTAAATTCCTCTCATTGTGTTTCTTGTCCGTGCATAGTTTTTATTATCCCAAAGTGAATAATGAACAAGACAATCTTTTTAGGAAAAATTCATGTAGGACATAGCAAGGATAAACAATTGATATTAATTTTATATGTGCCATCCTCCTTGTCTTCTTCGTATAAAAATAGTAACTTTATTACAAAAGTTTTTAGTTTCAAAGTCATAAATTCATCAAAAAATATTCTTAAACTTCGTTATCGGTTACAAATATTTTCTTTGAATGTGATTTTAAATATTTTGCGGTCGCTTCGCGTTTTATTACGTATAAAACTGAGGAAAGGAAAAGTATCATTTATTTGGTAAATCAAATATGAACTAATTTTCCGTTTATTGCTACGTGAGAACATAATATGTCCTCATGATTTTTATTCTTGTATTCGAGAAAAAACTTATCTATAAAAATTCCACCTGTTCTTTTCACCTGGAACTATAAAAATGCTATTTTCTCTTAGTGATATCTCAGGTAAAATTTTCTCATGAAATATACACTTTCATTTTGTGAATGAAAAATGAAATGTGTATTAAAATGGACATAATTGTCAATAAAACAGATGTATTAAATTGGATTTTCGTATAAGGACCAATGGATACAATTTTTAACATACTACTTACATAGTATTTACATAATTCAAAGAAATAAAATATTCTTCCAATATACCTCATCCAATGTATTAATTAACATGTGTTACTCAATTTACATTTCATAATCTTTCCAAAAATTCTAATCTTATCGGATTAATTGAAGTAATTAAATTGTAAATACATATTTCAAAATTATTTCATATTTATAAAGTTTCTTATCTATATACTAGAAGACTTTTGTGGATGATTGTGTATTCTGTAGGAAAGGTAGGTATGCTGAATATGTCCAAACCTTCGAAAAGGACCTATGAGTATACGGTTTAGAAAAATACACAAGAATGAACAAAATGCAAATCAATCTACAAAGTTGAAAAGAATATTTTTTCTAGATCTCGGCAAAGTGAAAACGTAACTTACATATTAATAAGTTATTCGATTCCTTTGTCACTAGCTGCAAGTACATAAGTACGCAGTGACAACAGGTGAAGTGATCAGTGACTTAAGTCGAACACACACGCAGCGGTCTGTTACAGGAAAATTTTCCTTTTTATATCATATAATAAAATACTGGAATAATTTACCTGCGGAAGCTGGGACTAGCCACGATGTTGTAAATAGGTTTAGTAAACAAATACGAGTAGTAATGTAAAACAGATGTTTTATTATCTTAGATTCTTGTCGAGTGTTTTTTATTTAAAACTTGGTATGAATATGTAATGATTATCGGTAAAAATGTGTTTACTGAAAACATATATGTGCGTGGGCTTGAATCCACATTTGTCGGTATGTATGCGAAAACCTTCGCAGTGTCATGGGACACGTCAGTGCAAGTTGGTGGTAATGTGGAGAGGTCACTGCTCCGGAAGCGTCTTCTTGAGATATTTGGGTATACGCAAGTCAGGAGTCTTAATTATTTATTTTGTGTCCATTTTCTATTTTATTTTATTTTATTTATTTCCTTAATGTCAAAAGCAGTTACAAGCCTTATGTGACGTACCATAGAGACAATTGCTACTTTTTACGTTTTCTTGAGCTCTGGAACCTCTACCTTATGAACAAGAAGGATTATGAATACATGTAGAAACGAGTGCTTTGAACAGAAACTGATTAGAACATATTCATCCCGTCTGATAAAAACTATTTTAAAAGGTAAATCCGCTACAGGTTTGGGCTATCATTTATTTATTTATTTATTTATTTATTTATTTATTTATTTATTTATTTATTTATTTATTTATTTAATTAGTTTACATCACAAACAGTTAAAAACTATGTGTGACGTGCTATGTATGAAAACTATGTATGAAATTACATTTATGTTCAGAAGGAAAATAGGGGTCATCTCAGCACATTGCTCGAGAATCAGGGAAACTGGACGAAAACGTGATGGAGATGGGGTCATTGACCCAGAAACGGAAGTACAATACTTGTTACAGGTTCTTTAGAATTATACAATCCAAATGATATGCAATGTATTAAATGTCATTGTTAAAATTAATATTACTTTCCTTTTGGTGGCTCGGTATAGTCTCTAATTTAATAGAAACAGTTGTGCAGCAGGAAAGGTTATATTTGGGGCTTAAACTTTTGTATCAAATTTAATCGTTTAATATCATCTGGTAAGGTGTTGTACAATAATGTACAACTTTTGTTAAGAAATCGACTTACTACCGCGAGAACCCAAAGAACGATTAATTGAACTCTAGAAAAGAGCTAATTGAAGTGAATTGAATTAACTGAGCCCTAGAAAACCAGCAGAGTTGAGCTCAGAGCCAGCAGTGCCGCTGTCTCTTCAGCGTCTGATCGGGAGGAAAGAAAGATCGCACGCGGCCTGTGGCCTGTTTGGTAGGGTCAGTTCGGCATTCACGCAATCGAAGCAGTTGGTCGTGGGAAATCTCCAGTCAGTGACAGAATTCTTTCAAGTTATCGAGCAAACATGAAAAATCAGATACCGTCGGGACTCGAACCTTAGTAATCCTAATCGCAAATCATAAAGAAGACCATTATATACCAATTGTCATCCCAGCTCCTTAACCTGTTCAATTCGCAAACTAATGATAAAAATATAAAACTAAGTGGTTGATTGAATCAAACATATCTCCTTTTCAAAGAAACTTCCAACCATTTCTCTCCACGTATAACCATTTGGTTTAACATTGAGAACGAAATTTGCGATTTACTAACTCTGAATCTTTATGTTCTTGATGACTCTAGACAGAGAAAAGGCTCAGGAAATTATCTGAAAAACCTAGCCTTATTAATACTCATCTAAAAACAAAACTAGTAGGGAATACACAAGAATTTACAAAAATAATTTAATAGATTTCTCAATCCATATTGTGAAGATAAAGAATCTACTAATGAAATTGGAAATCGCACTCCCTTGAGAGTCAATTATGAGTGCAATACTCTTCTTAAAAGCTAACATCGGAACAATTACTAAGTAAGTAATTATAATACTATACTAAGTATTCATTCTGTTGAAATGTTCCTCATCGTTACTCTTCGCTGAAGTGCAAAAAGTTTCAGTTTAACTGGCAGAAATATGCAAGAAATGTAATAAGAATAACTACTGGGCAAACAAATACGATAAATTTGAAGAGATTTGAAAGAAGAAAAATCAGAATTTCTAATTATTTACGAAAGATATTACAAGCAGGAGTTACTTCTAAAAACCGCCTAAGGAGAGAAAAAATATGTTATAATTTGGCATAGTATTGACCAAAAATATAAATATATAAGCATTACATTACTTTTCTCAAATCAGTATGGAGTAAACATAACAAAATATTGTCATCATTAAATCATAATATCATAATCATAATCATAATATCATCAAAATATTGTCATCAGTTCTGGAGTAAACATAACAAAATATTGTCATCATTAAAATAGGAAGCCGATTCATCTGTTCTAATTAACTTGTTATGAGCAGTTGTTATGATCTGTTGTTTACTACTCTGCAAATAAAAGCCTTCCCTAGAAACCCCAACCTGTTATTAACAATTCATGACGCTTAAATCTGTCGTCCTTTTAAAAGAAGCTCAAGTAACAGCCGTTAGTATCAGTCGATAGTACTCACTGGTATAATGACTGGTCACTGATCACTGGTCAGTGGTCACTGATCTCTTCTCATTAGTTTCACAAAGGAAGTTTCTAGGTTTAATATTCTCGTACACTATTATTGCCTCCCATTTTAGCCCAACTTATTACTAGTATATCTTCAATCCAACTTAGCACAATATAATAGGCGTCCAAATTATCTAGCTCTATCTCCAAGACTATTTTTCAATTTTTTGGTGCAAAGCCTGTGCTGTACTCACACTTACGTACTGTACTGTAACCTAACTTACCGTATCGTATACTTTAAACTCTTAAGTACTTTAACCCCCAAAATCGTCCTGTTTTCCCATTTTATATCAGCACTTATTTCTGTTAAAAACAGACAGTCCATGAACCCTCTGATCAAACAAATTGAAGAGAGCGTTTTTCATCATTCCAATGAAGGGTTTTTCATTACACCTGTTTGGTTTTCCTTACACAAAGGAATCAAAAAATGAAGAAGCAGACTCAGCTGAAAAGAAAAGAAAAAACCATACCACACAAACCGAAAAAGGAACACTTTGGTACACCAAAAGACCTGACCAAAAATCTACTATCCTCTATTATACACTTCTGGGGCTACAAATGGACAATTTCTTCATCGAAACCACACATGGTTAGTAGATACACCTTAAAATCTGCACTATCAAAAACAAAACTTCAGAGACATGTTTACAGGAATTTATTGAAACTAGTCTCCTTATTGGACACTTCAATCTTGCTTGCAGTTGTCTGGTAAAAAACCCAGGCCCTGATCCATGTCCCACATAATTTTAGTTTGCATTCTTCTACTCATTTTATTGCTGAATGTCCAGAAATTGTAGTATATAGAAATGAACATAAACTAACAACGAGATTGATATTGTAGTTAACTCTCTATCATCACATATTAAAATTATTCACCTTTTAGAAAATATTCAATTGGACAAATATGTCTAAACATTTAAAATGTGTAATTTTAATTGTAAATTAAAGTTCTGTTAAAACATATCTTGTATTTATGGTAGCTAATAACCAAATTGTAGACACACAATCGAAAATAAATAAATTTAAAAAATTCTACACCTACTATATTAAACTACCATCAGTGAATGGAGAGAAGTCATTCAACAGAAGGAAACAAAAAGTGAGAAAGTGGTTCAAATGGTAAAATCGGAAAACCAGCGCAATTCTATCTACAGATTTTTTCTCAATTACTTATGTGAAGTAACACGAGTGAGTCGAAAAATTGGGAGATTTCGTTGAATGAAATATTATATAATATATATATATATATATATATATATATATATATATATATATATACTAAAATGAGCAGTCTCTCAATTAAACATTATTATTACTTTTAATAATTGTATTTTCTTGTTACGATAATTTTTAGTCCATATTCCACATCCAACAAACTTATAATCTCTCAAAAACGCGATTTGTTCTCTTATTATTTAGACTTGAAAGACCTGATAACTAAATTTTTCATCTTGTGCACACATAATGGATCCAACTCATATGATCGAAGTGGGTGAGATTGAACTTCAACCGTTTGACGCGAATTTGTGATCGCAAATTTTTGTGCTTTCTGTTTTTTTCAGCGTGGGAATGAATTGAAACAGCGTAAGTCGTGCGTAATACTAATCTTTAAAGTGAGTCCGGAAAGTGAGTTAGTGTTGTTTGTGGTTGAAGGTTCACTCCCTACTAGATGCAAGCGTGCCATGCGCAAGTGGAGGAACACCCAAGAGGGAAAAGAGGAAATAAAAACTACTCACTTGCACTCCAAACAGGCGCTTTTTCTCGGAAGTAGGTTCGATTCAATCATGGATATGCTCTGCAACATGTTTGGGAAATTTACTTGCAGCATTTACCAAAATTATTACGAATATTTTGCGTATTCTCTTTGTCATCTTACTCTGTCTACACCAGACCACCAGATTTATAATGAATTAAAAGGAAAGTTTGCTCAGAAGAATCAGACGTTATATTTTAATACTATATTGCCTAAGTCTATTATAAAGAGAATACAAATCATGCCACGTAATAGAAAAAAGGATTTACATTACGTTTAGAACTAGACGTCATTATAGAAAACATTAATCAATACATTAATCCTTCAGGCACATTACCATTACAAAACGAAAACTATTTTACACTAATTCTTTTGAGCATTTTACAAAAGCAGGCCTTGTTCCTAATAAGTAAAACTGCAATTTCAATAGCATAGTAATACAGTTCATGCAAATAATGAAACATACATTGATAACTTTGTCATGACGATTTGAGTGGGGCATGGGTACAATTCTATAGAAGCTGACAGCTGACGATCGGTTTATGATTCTCTTTCCTCTCTATTTCTACATAATTGCAACTGATTAGAAGAGTAGATTTTCAGTATTAAGAAACATTTTTTGGATAAATTTTTACGAAAACAAGGAAATGTCTGCGCACGGTTGTGGTGCATTTTAAATTGTATTTTGAAGAGTAATACTTTGAAGTAAATGTCAAAATAAGCTGAAAAAATTAACAGGAGCAAAGATAACTTTTATAAAAATTACAGGTGTGTGTTAGCATATACTGGTAAAAGACAAACTGTAAATAATTTCATTTAGTATTGTTGAAATTCAACTGACTATGAGGTAATCCGGTTTACTTGGAAATGCAGTATTGATTATTTTGAGAAACAGCATGATGTTGTAAGGTGCCAGGCGTTTCAATACACAAGGCTCCGACTACAAAAGGGATCTATGAGACTCAAATTGCGTTCGAGACACGGGAATATTTTGCCTGCGATCATCCATGCAATTTCGTTTATTTCTCAGCGAGTATAACTAGAGACACTTATTACGCGATGGACATACTAGGTACTTCCCAAAGCTTAAGGAGTTCGGTGCATGAACTGAGCTTCAGCAAAGACTAGCAGCAAGTGTGCTCATATTTTAATTTTATGTAAACAGCAACAATCAAAGACACCTAATATAAACACAGAGAGCTCAGGCTTCGATGGAATTTCCACTTTACTCCTGCTCTCTATCAACATGCACATTTCTTAACCAATAATGTGTGTGATAAATGAATGCAGTATTGTTAGAATGCCTCTGAATGCAAAAATGATGCTTATATTAGATTCATAAAATAATCTTAAAGTCTGGAATACAAGCGACTGGCGTGACCAGGATAGGATTCTACAGAGATAATTTTCTTATGATTTCATTCATATAGTGATAATCTATTTGAAAGAATAGAAAGGACCTCGAAAGAATCTTTTAGATGATTTCATCTGGTCAATTTGATTCAAATATTGACACAATAACATTCTAATCTCGTATGTTGATAGACATACAACAAATGTTAATAGACACAACCCTAAAATGATTATTTTCGAGTTATAAAATCAAAAAGTTTACCATATTACATCACATTGTACTACGTTCTCTTCAAAACATAAAAAGAGTAGTGAAAATTTTAGTTGCGGATATAAGAAGTTAAGCAATGGATATTTAAAAAATATTTATTTACATTTACATCAACTTCAAAATTCCTAGAAATTATACACAATTTAATACATACAATTTACATACACAATTTACATACATGCAATTTATAATCTACTTTTTGTAATATTGAGAACATATTCATAAGCAAAACAATACAAAAAACAAACCTTGTACCATCATCATAATACATTCCATCTACATTTCATTGTAAATGTAGATTTCTTTAACGAAATAAATTATTTTTCCTTTTGCATTCTTTAGGGTTTAGGATATTTTCATGTCTGCCTTCTCAAATAATTATACTCGTAATAACCATTACCATGCTACCTAATTTTACATTAACGCTATTTAATGTGAGGCAACTCTTTCTGGAGTGTTCATTATAACCTTCGGCTGTCGTGAATGGGATGATAGGAAATACTTGTTATGGAGAGATATGAAATACTACGGATAGATTAGGCAAGGTAATAACTATTTATAGTGGTTTGAATTGATGATGGGGAAATCTGGATTGTATTATATCTTGGGTGAGGGATTTTCCAAGTCGGGAATTGCGTGTGACTGGAGAAGACGGTTAGGTTGTACAAAATGTATTTGAAATATGACAGATAAATTGGGCTACTATAGATACATTTATGAGTAATTAATTATGTAATGTATTATTGGAAACAAACCAACGTGCTTTTGTTGCAGTAGGAAGGATCAAGAATTTTATTCTTGGACTTTTTAAGAGGTTTCAGGACAGTAGATGCAGTACCAGCCCATAAAGGAGTATGCGAAAGTCACTAGTAGGCGAACAGCAGCTTTATATAAAACAAACGAATGGTCAAAATGTTGGGGGGATTTTCTCTTTATTACGAATATAATTTGGAAAGCTTAGACTATACTTTGTTGGTTTTATTTAGGAAATTTGACTCCCATGACAGCTTGGTACCAGGGAGTATTCCTAGGCATTTGATAGGTTTATTTGACGGGGACCAGAGGATTAGTTTTAAGCAAATATTTTTAGGATTATGAATTCATCGTAACGTAAATATCTCTGCCTCACATTTTGAAGGCTTTAGATTTGGTCCCCAGTCACAGACCCAATCGTGAAAGGAGTACAAACTGGAATGAAAGTGAGAAATAGCGTCTGACAGTTACATGACTGTGTCGTCGAGATGTAAATATTTCTTTTGATGGAAAAATGCAATCATGTTTGGAGTTGCAAATTATATTGTATAAGTAGCCAGGGATGCTAATGTTACTAAACTTCAACAACAGATCATCATACGTGGTGGAATGCTTGAGCAAAATCTAGAGGGGCCGCCAGTAATTGCTTACTATGAAAAATGCATGTAGGTTATATTTTCTGTAATTCTCAGTAACTTAAGGGCGGCGGAGTGGTTCGGTTTGAAACAAAATTTACTGGAGAGATCATTAAGTCTATTAATCATAATTTTCTCAAACTTTCTACCAATAATCGATATGAAGGAGGCTTTTTGATCTGTATCTTGTGAGAGATTGAGATGATAATGTTTGCTTCTAATTACACTAAGGAACAAGATTTTTACCTCAAAATATACTGCACAACATACCCAATTTTATACGTAGATCACGAATATCACAATAAAAAGTCATATCACGTCACAGTTTTTAAATATACCGTATCATACACTATTAAACGTAAAAAGAGTCATGTAGACTACATGTAGATTACGTGTAGAAAATACGTGTAGGCGTAACATGCATAGTCTACGGCGCGACTCTAATTACGAGTAGGCCTTAGTGGACTTCGTAGATCTTAGTGGATGTTTTGAAAACAAGTCACGTGCACCCTCATATTTCCTACTACTAGTCACCGAAAGGATATTTTAGCCCCATACCTTATCGCATGTATCCAAGAATCCGACTGTTGGGGTGGCAGATTCTGAGTCGGTCGGTGTCATGTGGAACTGCACCGACAGTGCGCGTGAAGTTCGTGTCTGCTTTGCTTGTGCTCAAATACATTAGAAGAATTCATCTGTAGGATTGATTCGGTTCGATAAAATGCAAATCGTCATATCACATCGAAAGTGTGCGATAACGTCAGTTACATTTGTAGAAGATTTACACCCAAACTTCAAACGAAAAAAGATAGGAGATTGCAAAACCTGCGTATTCTTTATACTTTGGGCGTAGTTGTGACGTTTGTGATCAGGACAAACTATGGGCTGCTCACCAGAGTTGAGTCACCTCTACAACGAACTGCACTGTGGTTGAATGGAAAACTAGAATCATTGTCATTCCCTCAACTAATGTTGTGGACAACACCAACAAACATTTTAATGTATACATATTGTTGGACGAAAATGCGTATTCCATTTTTAACTTGTTGTTACCTCTTATGAAGCATGCTCATAAAATTGTGTAGTAATATAGCCGAGTGGTAAAATGCGAATTAGTATAGGATTTTGTTTATTTCAAATAATAAATTTCTTTATATCTTCTGAACCTTGTGCTCTACTCTTTTCTAATGATTTTCAAAATCAGCATACAATGTAGGCTTTCATGGCCGGTTTCTACATCATTAGATGTTTCCGGGTTAGTAGGCTGTGGTCCAACGAAGACGTTTCGCCTGCAACTGTGGCAGGCATCATCAGTGGCGTTTCTGACGGGGGCGAAGTGTTCTTCTTGGCAGCACCGCGTTGACTGGACTTTGACAGATTAACCCACAACAGCATGATGTGCATTACAGACCGTACAACGATACACCATAAGAAGAAATGTAGTCAATGCTATGACACTACGGGGCAATCTGCACCTAAATTAGATAACGAACGTGTTGTGTTTAACCTTCCTAGACATCAACTAACACAGGAGGAAACGTCGGATTATGCCAAAGGAGGAAACTTCGCCATCACCCCAACTAATTTACCTGTGGAAGATATCATTGCTAGTATCGAACCAGTGATTTGCAAATTGCAACCGGACGTAGCAGAAGAAATTCGACGTGACTCTCCGAGAATTCTACAACACGCTAAACCACCTGATTGCAATATTACCAACAAAGAGAAGTCTAAAGAACTTAAACCGGAATAAGGATATCAGCATTATTTCTGCAGACAAAGATAATTCGACTGTCATTATGGACACTGAAGATTACCAACAGAAAACCAGGGACATTTTGAATACCGATAACTACAGGCCTCTTACTAAAGTTCCTACGGCTTCTATTTTATGCAAGTCCAATGACCTTCTCAAGAAATCCTCTATACCACTTTGGAACAGACGTTTCTACAGATTTCGGGGGTGCTACCTCCTAGACTCTATGGCTTACCAAAGATCCACAAACCGGACACGCCTCTACGACCGATTGTGAGTGCTATTAATTCGCCAACGTACACCTTACCCAAATACCCCTCCAAACTACTACAACCTCACACTGGTAACACAGAAAGACCCATCAAGGATTCCTCTCACTTCATTGAAAAATTAAAAGGACTTCGCTTAAAACCCGACGATGTATTGGGAAGTTTTGATGTCTAATCGCTTTTTACAATGGTTCCAGTACAAGAGCCTTTAAATTTCTCGGCTAAATATTTCCCGGAGGACATCGCCTTACTGTTTAAACACACACTGACTACTCCCTATTGCCAATGGAACGGTAACTTTTATGAACAGAAGAACGGCGTGGCTAAGGGCAATCCATTGAGTCCGGTTGAGGCCAACTTTTACATGGAGTATTTCGAAGACTCTGCCTTAAACAGTTCTCGTATGAAGCCAACACACTGGTTTCGATACGTTGATGATACTTTCGTGGTTTGGAGTCACGGTGAACACTTGTTATCATATTTTTTGGATCATTTCAATAATATTCACCCAAGAATTCAATTTACTATGGCGGTGGAAAAAGATAAACAACTAGCTTTCTTAGATATTTTGGTCAACAGGAATCCAGATGGCTCCCTTGGACATAAAGTTTAGCGGAAACCTATACACACGGATCTTTATTTACACAAAAACTCAAATCATCGTCCTAGGCAAAAACGCGCTATGATCAAAACCCTTTACGACCGTGCTAAACTCATTTGCGAACCTGACCACCTACCCGAAGAACTACAACACCTCGAGAAGGCATTACAAGCCAACGAGTACAAGCCCATTGAAGTAAGACGAGCTCTACACCCGAAGAGGAAGACAGATGACCAAAACCCTACAGAAGATGCTATACTTGGTACAGTTTTCCTGCCCTATGGGAAGGAAGTAACGGACCGCATAGGGAGACTGTTTACAAGACACAGGGTTAGAACTATCTTTAAATCCACCCAACAACTCCGAAACATATTACATTCGGCCAAAGATACCCAGGATCGTATGTCTCTAGCTGGAGTATACAGAATTCCTTGCTCTTGCGGTTCCGTATACATTGGTGCTACAGGGAGAAGCTTTAATTCTCGGATAAAAGAACACAAAAGGAACTGCCGTCTAGGGCATACTGATAAGTCAGCAGTCGCCGATAACGCGCTGTCGGGACGAGGAGACGACATGCGCTTTGAAGGGACGACTGTTCTCTCCACTACCACACAATACAAGTCTCCAAATGGAAGCCATCGATATGTACAATACAAACACAAAAACAATTTCAACAGAAAAGAAAAAGGTGAAAAATTAATAAGCACATGGTACCCGGTCCTCCATAACACCAAAACTTGGCAGCAACCAGTACCGCTGACGTGGCCCAACAGGCGCGAGCGCCGCTGACGCGATCCAATCAAACGCGATGCGCGAACCTCGCCGTTCACCATAAATATGGGTCCCACGGGCGGGGGGGGAGGGGACGTAAGTGAACGCGGTGCTGCCAAGAAGGACACTTCGCCCCCGCCAGCACCGCCACTGATGATGCCTGCCACAGTAGCAGGCGAAACGTACGGACCAGTCTCTGTTGGACCACGGCCTACAAACCAGGAAACATCTAATAATAATATTATCCTAATAATTGATATATAAGACGAACAACCTTGTCTTAACCAGGGGATGCATCCGAAAAGCTGATCCTCATAATTCCACACGTTGATATCTCCAGAATAGAACCCCTTGTTTTGTGTGGTACTATCACGGCACAGGTCTACGTTGCAGTTTTAAACACCTCCTTGCTTCCCACTGTTGAAGAGCATTTCGGGAATGGCGATTGCATCTTTCAACATGATCGAGCAGCTATTTAAACAGTATGGCCAGTCGCGGAATGGTTACATGACAATAACATCGCTGTAATGGACTGGCCTGCACAGAGTCCTGGCTTGAATCCTATCGAACACCTTTGGGATGTTTTGGAACGCCGACTTCGTGTCAGGCTTCACCGACCTTCATCAATACCTCTCCCGAGTGCAGCACTCCGTGAAGAATGGGCTTCCATTGGCCAAGAAACCATTCAGCATCTGATTGAGTATGCCTGCGAAAGTGGAACCTGTCATCAAGGCTAAGGGTGAGCCAACACCCTATTGAATTCTAGAATTTCCGATGAAGGGCGCCACGAATTGGTAAGTCATTTTCAACCACATATCAGAGCATTTCAGTCCAGATTTTTTACAACTACATGTCTCAGCATAACCTTGAGTATATGAAGCAAAGGTTCTGATGGGGGACGTATAACTTAATTCAGGCATTTGCGTGGTAGTCTTTCAGTCCAAATCCTAAGAATTCATTCATCTCACCAAACGTGGCCTGATATTAGGTGCGAGTATTTTGCACTGTAAGCGGACTGCGTCACACAAAGATGACTATCAAGTAAGGTGAAACTTACAATTTATCTCTGATTTTGAAAATAATTCTAGGTACCGGAGAGAGTCAAATGACTGCGTGATTATACCTCTACCAAACAAAAAGACAACATTTCATAAGCTATAGCAATATACTTTGTTGTGACTAATGTGTGATGTTACTTTGAGTCAAATTGCGTTGCTTCCAATAATCAATGCAAACTGTTTCCTTCCTTTATCCACACTGGGGAATGTTTGAATCTCACGAAGTGAAGAAAGTCAAGTGCTGCTAGAAGACCACTTACTTTCTCGCATTATTTCTAAATTTGCATTTTTCAAAAATTCAGAGATTTTAACGAAAATGAGACCTGTGCTATTTCTGAGACTGATATTTTTAGGACTCAAGGTTAAAAATGTATGGTGGAAAACTTGGGAAAATATCGATTTCGAGATCTCCTGGAGTTAGCACAAAGTTTTGGAAGTCGATAACTTAGTGTTTGAACTAATGCCTTGGAACATACCCAAAGAAAATCTTCTACGATCTTTTTACAGGTAACACTCCTCTTTTTCAGAACTTCTCGTCTGAACTGGATGGTTTCCTACCAATAAAGGAAGGCTGAAGGTATAGAAACAGAGGGGGGCGTTGCCAGCCTTACTTACCGTGAGCCCTATGTTTTTGGCCAGGGTGCTTTCGTTGATGTTGGCGAAGGGCTTGTCGGCGCCCCAGCACTCCACGTACTTGGTCATCTTGCCCGAAGCGCGGTTGCGGCCGGCCGCGCCCTCGCCCTTGCCGCCGCCCGTGCTGTCCTTGCGCTCCTCCGTCTCCGCCTCCTGCCGCTGCAAGCACAGCGCGCTGCACTCGCCGCTCGCCAAAGCGGTTATCCAATCGGGAGCTTCAAGGCCAAAAAGTAAGTCGTAACGAAGCTCCCGATTGGATAACCGCATCCAGCTGATCTAACGTCAGAAGTCACTCTACATAATTCGTATAATATGTGGCCATGGAAACGCTTGGAATAGATAGGGGAGGTGTGAATTCCTGTATGGGGAGTTCCGTATCTGAGGTATCGAGGCTCAAGTCCCGATCGATCTATGTGGGTTTTATAGTGGATAAAGGGTTTTCAGGACGTTTTCTTAACGTTCTCCGGTATCCCCTGTCTCTCATCCTTCCATTCCCGTCTCATTCATTCGTACCATCGTTCTCACCAATGCGTCAAAAATCCCTCATCCATTCTCGAAACGAATACAGGTCTAAGGAACAGGCCAAAAACTAGGGTACGCTGGCAAAAAAAGCTAACCTACAAAGATGGCTAACGAACGAATTGAATGTACATTCGGCGAAGGCAATGTGTTAAATCAGGCAGAGCAAGGTGGCGGGCAAGGTAACTTTATTACTAAAGTTCGCGGGCACTAATTCCCATTTCGTCTAAAGCAAAGAAATCATCTGTTTAAATACAGTACATGATATTTAAACTTATCAATTGATTGATTATTTTTCCAGACGCGTCAGCGTCTGAGATCACAATTCCCGTAAGTGTAGTGCATATTTCATTAAGACCTGTGACGGTGATCTTCCGCGCTGGATGGTGAGATCCGACTCCGACACTCAAGTCGGCTTGCGGGGGTTTCTCAAATCAGGCATCTCCCACCAGCGGGGCACCGCGCCAGCGGAGACATGTTCTTAGCTCCAGACATGTGTGGTAGTGTATTACTTGTAAGTGGAAGTGTGTGTACACAAGGGGTGAGGATTGGCAACGAAGAGGAAGGAAAGATCTCGCGCGGTCTGTGGCCATCTTTTCTGATGTTTTCTCCTCGGCCCCGTGGCCACTTTCGACATTTGCCTGGTGCTAATCAGAGAAGCTACGGAAAACTACCGACCAGAGCAGGCGGCCTCTAAAATTTTTCTCCAGACAGTGGCTAAACTAGACGCAGGTATATAGCTGTGTTGAAAATCCTGCCCACTGTCGTGACTCGAACCCGAGTGTCTCCCGATCAGAGGTACTGAACTGACAATTGATGCCCTGAATCACCTAAACCGGTAACTTATTATTTGAGAGTAAAATTAAACTAACTGATTCGAAAGGATCTTTAGTTCGTAATTCCCATTATTTAAGTGCAAAATTGTATCAGAGTAGACTACGAGACTTATTCATTTTATCAATTTATTTCATTATTGCTACATACAACAAAGGAGTCCACTCCACTCACTTGAGATAGCTGTGTGGCAACTATCGTTTTTCAAGCTTTATAGCCTTTCTCACAATATTATAATATTGTCAAATTTTTGTTTTATTCTATATTTCTGTCAATAGTTTGTAATGAACATTTTTATACACCTGAAGTTGTAGACGTGTTTTCCCCACAAAATGTAGTATAAAATATAATGAAATCGTTAATTTTTAAAAACATTTTAATGCATATTTGATTTTCTAAATAACAATCTGAAACCTTTTCAAATCTGATAATATGGTAACAATCACTTATCAGTTCCAAGTAGGAAACTGGTTTATTATACATTTTCGATTCAATCATGTTCCTGCTTCCAGGCAAAAATTATGAATGAATATTCAATTTAAAAAGAGAATACGCATTAAATCAAGTTATAGAGTATATAAACACAATCCAAATCTCGATGGTTTGCTTGCAAACTTTCGAAAAACATATTGATAAATGAACGTCGCGATATTTCAAGCGCACTTTGTGCATACTATCCCTGCTTCAGCGTGGACCCCTTTCCGGATTTGAAGGGAAATGAGAGCGGAGTCGGGGGTGTTGCCCGCAAGACCCACGTACGCATGGGAATGGACTTGAGCGAAGTGGATATAAGACTCAAGGAAAAGAGTCACCGGGACGCTTTGCTCGGTGAATGATGACAACCATCTTGCGGTAATGAGTACAAAGGGTAAAAATAAACCTTAAATTTCTTTAGAGAGGTATGTTACTATAGTTTTAGTAATTAATATTTGTAATTTTTATGTTCTTCCTTCCTTTAACAAATATTGTAAATATCATTTCTGGGTTCTTCACTTTGAACTAATTTTATAAATACATTTTCAGTAAGAGTCGGAACAGTCTCCAAATATCAAATTTCATAGAATAATATTTTGGATGTATTTATTGCGGTTGTTCTAAATTTAAAATAGGACTACAAATATTTAAAAATAGAAATTGTAATAATGACAACCAATTTAAAACTTGGGTCTTATTAAAAACAATAAAGTACTTAGCCGAAGAAATGTCTCTCACCATTGGGGGCACAATGAGGAATGTGTCCACCTTGTGATCTGCTAAGTAGCCCTCCCTGGATCCTCCATCTCCTGGCTCCACTTGGAACTGGTCATTGAGTTGCATCAGCGTCGCTTTGGTTATGTGAACTCGTCTGCAAAAGAAAAGGTCCAACAATTAGGCAAAAATACCCAGTTGAAGATAATTTTTATTTTGTTGGTGAGTAGGTTTTACAGCATTCCACGATGCCATGTTTGGAACAGTTGTCAAAACGAGATAGCTCATCGCCCATTGACTCCACAATTTACGCTTCTTGTAAATAGGGTTGGTAAATAACTGTAAAAAATGTAGGTAATAGATATTCTCATTCAGTCTCATGCATATAAAAACGATTCTTAAAATTATTAAAAAGTAAACTATTTCATGAATATTTGAGTAATGGTTGAAGATTAAAATGGCAAAAGATCTTGAGGGATTCCAAAAAGTAATTTCTGCTTCCTTATGCATGAAGTATGCACTTGTCAAGGCGTCCGTACTTGCTCCCGACATCTTATAGGTCCATAACCTCTCAGTAGGGTTGTGGCACTGCTACACTGCAGAACTGAAGTCCTCCTAAATTTAATTCTGCGTGTCTTTCTAGAAATCAATAATATTCATTTGATGGTGTGTAGTTCCAATCAAATAATTTCAGTTTTCTAACTGATCTGGGAAGCAACGCAGAGAAGACAGCAAACTAAACAGCTTAATCCTATGTAGATATAATTTTAATAAAAATCATCATTATTCCATATCTCATACCTCCAGGACTAGCAACCCTGGGAGATAAAAATTGGATTCAATTTAATGATGATCCCATCACAACGAGTCATATATGAAATTACCACGGGGTAAATGTCAATGAGTATAGGTAAGTTCAGGTGAATGTCCACGTGGTTGTAGCTGACTAACTTGCGACAGATATATATATATATATATATATATATATATATATATATATATATATACATAACGACTCGCCAGCTCTGAGAACGAAGACGTGTCGATTCCGCGACGCTCCAAGGCTGGAAAAGTGGTCCGATGCGTTAGGGGCATCGGGAATCCGCGGCACAGCATAATGGTGCCTAAGCGTTGGCGTATATTTGTGCTGTTCAAGTGTGTGGGCGGATTTATGACCGTAAAAAGGAGGGTGGAAATCGGTGCTATGCAGGGCCGTCAGCCCCCACGAGAGACAAAGGTGGAGGTTCGGAAAGGTCACCCAAGGACAGCCGCCTCCTTTTTTATGTCAACTACCCTGCTCAATGCGTCCGGTGTCGCACCAGTCAAAACGTTTCTTTCACCCAAAATGAAATATTTCAAAAGCCACCACGACGAGGCCACCGACGACTGACGAATGGTGGGGGCTTGGAGGTGGAATGCAGTAAAACAGTCCCCTTAAACAATTGAGATGCAAAGGCCGCCGTGCACTCCGCGAGCAACTGAAATCAACCCGGAGGAGAGTGCTTCTGTGTCGCACTCCTTTGACCCCAAGGCAGAAAGGGAGCACCTTTGGGCCGCGTGTGGTGGTGGATTTCAACTAATTCCCTGTCAACGCTTCAACATGCAAATCTATCCTCCGAAATGTTCTCACAAAATGTCAGCTTCCTCTACCTGACAACCAACCTTCTAACCAGACCGTCGATATCCGAACCCACAATAAGAAAGACTGCCGACGCCCGAACCCCGAACAAGAACACCGGGTCCAGCGTATTTATGCGCCGACTCTTTCTGTAAGGGGTGAATGCGCGTCATACCTCTACGGGAGTGACCCCTCGCTTCGACCATGTCTCGCAAGGGCCGCGCTGAGTTATGGTCAGCGAATACAAGAGCGCGCGCTCGGCGCCGACTATAGACGCGCTCTCTCCTTTCTCTAGTATCCCCAGATGGGATTGTAGCCGCGTGATTGGCTGTGGCGTTTGGCAAATTGGCCATATATATATATATATATATATATATATATATATATATATATATATATATATATATATATGGGTCCATCTATGGGCTGCAGTCATTAGTATTTATATAGGGCCGAAAGCTTGAAAACCTCGCGCTTAGGTGCGCTCCTGGAACTCGGACAAGCGACGTCATCAATCGGCGCGAATGCGACGCGGCGAAATGTAGGTCCGCGTCCAGTGGCCAGAGAGTATGCAGAGCGACATAACGCGTGAGTAACTGCGTTGTGAATATTCTGTAAAAACGTAGGATGGAAGTAACGCCAATGGTTAGCGGCTTGCAGGAATAGTGAAACATCAGCCCCGATAGCAACGACGAGCGCAAGAAGGCTTTTCTCGTGACTAGACTGCGCAGGACGGCCGAACGGGCTGCGCTGACGAGGTCCATGACGAAATTTCCAACACAGAAGGAGATTGGCAGCCGACACGTTTAAAGTACGAGGCGAAGAATTTCTTCATTATCGCGTCCACAGATTTTTTATGTGGGTATTAATGATTTGTCAAAAGTGATACATTATTAAAACATCCACGGGATTAGAACGAGTTCAGTGACGAATCCGAAATTCATGTTAAGCTAGGATGTGTATAGCTGTAAAAGATTTTTCAATAAAGCTGTATTCTGAATTCACGGTGATGGAAAATTATGGTGATTAATTAATTGCACATTTACTGTGTTGCGAGCATTCTGAAACGGGGTATCGTGTGATATTGTACATTGAATATCTCTACTAATTTATTTAAAACAGTTATATTTATTGTGTCAATTGAAGTTGGTGTGCTGATCATTAGCTATAATAGACCTCAATTTCTCATGTCTTCATTGTAATAACTGCATTCACGCCATACTGGGTTTCACTTTCTACTATATGAATATATGCGAGAAAAGAGATGCAGCGAATAAATATTTAAATTGGTGTAATACTGTCAGTGTTGACTTGAAATTTAATTCCCTGATGTGAGAAAAAATGGCAACGTACAGTACCTGTACGCAACGGACAGTAAATGAAAAGACCACGTCAGAAAAGTTCTTTTTCTTAATTTAATGAAAGTAAAATTATACACAGAGATAGCGTAAATTCACTATAAACGTAAGAAAGAAACAAACTATATTCGTGTGCGTTTATAGCGGATTATGTCGCGAGTTATTGAAAGTCACTGTTTACTTTTGTTGGGTAGTATTAGAGAAGGACTTGTTAAAAGAAGTAAACAATGGTTAGTCACTCTGGATTATGTTTCATATGAAGTATATGGAAGCTTTTGTAACGATGTAGCCAGTTTTACCTGAATTATACAGGGTCAGTCACGTAACTTAAGCAACTTCCGTAGCTTTTGAACAGTTAAATAAATAGCATTCATGTCAACGTAAGCTCCTGGAATTTGAACTTTTAATTCAGTTTTGTGACGCTTACATTATGACATCATTCATTGTGCAATTAAACTTTTAATCTAAATTCTTGAGAGTCCATTCTATAACCGTTGTAATTATCCTTCAATTCTTTATTTCAACTCCTCAGAGTAATATTCTAATAAACGTGACTGGAAGAACAGAGGTTCTTAACTTATTCTTCTACTAAATGAACACGGTTCATTAACACAGTAATTTTAATGCCTCTTTAAATCACAAAAGTTGAAGTTTTATATTGCTGAAACAACCTCTTGAAAAAATTAAAGTTACCGAAAACTGATTAGGTTGGGATAGGAGCGTAATTTTAAACCGGCTCTCGTTTATGAATCGTGTAGATCTAGTGAGAATAATTTTCCACGATCAATGTTCTTTTTAACGACCCCAATGTTTTTTAGTACTCTGTGGTTCATTTAACTTTCAAGCGATTTCTTCCGGGAACAGTTTATTGTAATCAAGTTTGAGAACGCAAAAATAGCATTTTTAAACATTACAACAATTTCCATAAACGTTTTGTGCTACATTTACAGAATCTTCTTAGCTCTTTTTAAACAACACTCACTCGGGAGGGGGGGGCAGAAGACCCAATTACAACCGTTTACCTTTCAGGGTGAGTTGAAAAAATCAGAGACGTCTCTCAGATCACCTCTAGTGGAACTTTCATTGCCACAGCGAATTTGTGAATGTTCTGGTCGATCTCGGAGTGCGTTTCCTGAGGATCCTATTTTCGATGTTATAGGTAACCAGTCGGTATGGATATCGCCAGTGGTATCGACTGATGTGGACAATGATTTTTTCTTTGAAAGTGAATACGCAACAAATACCTAAGAGGAAGAGCATGAAGCACAAGATGATGAAGTACAAGAATGAAAGTAAATACTCTCATATTAGAAGAAATAGCAGGAAGAATAAAGAAGAAAATGAGGGGTATACCACAACAGTTTCGGTAAGAAATGGGTACTTCTAAGGAAAAAAAAGACACGAACAGTAACGAAAGTCTTCAAGAAAGAGTTGAATATTGCATTGAAGGAAATTATGTAACGCTGCGGAATATCGATTTCGAGATTTCAACGGAAATACATGTTTTGGGGTCCCTTGGTACCGAAAAAGATTTTTTTCAAAACGAAAGTCCGTCCATCCGTCTGTCTGTCCGTCTATAAATACCAGTAGCGCCTAAACCATACGTAGGACTTTTTCCAAAATGGATATTCCCTGGTCGATCTGTCTCGGCTCGAGGCGCCGTGATTTTGAAAACCTTACTTCAAAATTTGGGGGTACTTTACACGAAAGTCCCCGGACATTTTCAAAATTTTCTCAAAAACGACTCTACATTTTTTCCTTAAATATCTTGTAATAATAGAGTAAAATACACTTATAAAGATGGCAAAGGTTCGATATTCACGAGAAATTGAATTTTCGAAAATCGCGAAAGTTCGGCGTCTTCCTACAACTACAATATTGAAGATAGAAATTTTTCCTTCATAATTACTTTTTTCATTAAGGTCATGTATACGTTTTTAAAATGTTTAGAAGTTTTCGCGCAATATTTGCAATTTTAAAATATTTCAAATAAATATTTTGTCAAAAACTGCTCCAAATTGTTTCTGTAAACTTTTGGTAGGGATAGTTCTAAATGCACTCTATAATATGACAAAAACGTACCATTGCTCTCTTCTTTTATTTTTTCAAAAAATACAGAAATGTAATTTGTATGACTTCTCTCACGTCGTTTATTACATTAGAAGCAATTACATTAGAGGC